AAAGTCGTCGAAGATCCTTGGACGGATTAATTGATCGCATGCGCGCTCCAAGTGTGTCAACGTTTTATCCTATTTTATCCGTGGGTTATAATACCGATAGCAATCTCCTTAATTAATTTACGAAGCCGGTGAGCCCCCCAGTCCGGAGCGAAAGTTAATGGGTGTCGTATAAATGTTCTATTTGAAATGAAATTAGCGCAATTACAACGGAATGAAAACAAGGAACACGCTTCCTTAAAAATAAACGCGTGAAGCCTGAAGGATGCATGTCAAAGAGTCGATGGAACTGAGACCCTGGAGTAACTTATACGCAGTTCCTTGAAGGGGACTGTTACAAACTACCCTAAAGCCTCATGACCTACATCCTGTATACCTTCTATCGATTCCTGCATCCTGTCAAGAGGCCGTTCAAGCATCCGGGACTAAAGGGGATGTTTACCTATGGAACAAACAGATGTCTATCTTTACCGACGCCTTTAGCGCCTAAAATATCGTCAAAGGGCAGACTCGGGGGGCTAGAGTTTGGAGGGCAACTTATCAGATTGCGTAAGAGTCCTCTTAAACTCGAAGTGCCCCGGGGTTACCTCCAGACACAACACGCTCGAAACGTCTGTTTAGAGTATCCCTGATGTAACCAAACCCCCGGTCGCTAAAAACGCCCGTCCGAGCGTCGTTCTCATTAATTCCGTTACGAGCAAAAAGCCCGCACTTGGATGCTCGCTGAGAGGCACTCGAGTGCCGATGTACCCGTGGCCTGCAACAAGAAGCAATCGTCGAGGAGCCGGGTACCGGTTATTTAACGCCGTTGCCTTTATGCCACTTATTGGCTGGCCGTCTCGTTGCACGAGTTTTAACTGTACCCCACCCTACGGTCGATGTAACAGTACCGTACTCTCGTCTTACTATGCAGCCCGTGGCTCATTCATTATTCATACGCCGCTGATACTCGGTTTATAACGTGAACGTATGCAGTTCGGTCGTCTGAAAATTCGAAGGTTGATCCCTGCGCCGGTTTAACGGATTGTACGACGCAGGCTGGTTGGTATCGCGTGGCAATAAAGATAATCGCCGGGCTTTGCTCGCCGAATGACTTTTTAAACGACTTCTTTGGTTGGACCCTTCGATCGAGCCCCAGAATTTATCGCTCTACCAATTTACACGCCGGTGGAGGAGACGCGACGTATCGTTTGGTAGCAATGGGATAAGCAAATGACACTTGACCCTGGTGATATCGCGAGGTACCAGGACAGATCGATCATCCTAATCGCCAGGTTCATAATTGGCAAGAACTATGGTTCCCAAGCATAGACAAAGAGATTTGATCAGATCTTGTATGAGATATGAACTTGGGAATGGTGATCTTAGGGTCTTCTTAACTTGTAGCCTCCTCGGCCATTTCTATGAGTAGTTGTTTAAGGAAACACGTGTGTATTTGACTGGGGTCTTTGGGAGCATTGATTACCACCTATAAGAAAGATATGCATCGTTTGGAATTGCTCAGAAACATGATCCCCTGGTTACTTTGAGCACAGTGTACTTTGAAAGCCCATCTCGCCTAGACTTGTCTGCCAAGCATGATTGCTGTGGTTCGCGTGATAGAATCGTAACTATCCCTGCGCCATTCAGCCGCCCCTCTATCGCTCCACTTCCCGATAAATGTTTACGACGGTTGCTCTTCAAGTTTTAATGATACATTATCCAGTAAAAATGATGAATGGAACGATCGTACCGCTAACGCCTGCCTCGAGGCCCATTATGCAGATCGAAGATCTGTTATTATCGAGTGATCACCTCCGATGTGCTCCTGTAGATCGCCGCTGTTATGCATACAACGCGTATCGTGGCTACAAATTACGAAAAAAAACACATTTGCCGTCGCATAATATGCATGGCACGACCGTTTGTTTACTTTCCAGGGACTAATTATGGGGTAGCGCCAAGAATCATTGATTCTAACTCGTTGTTTTCTACAACGCTCGATGTGGTCGTTGATCTCTAACAGCAAAAGCGTATTTGTCTTGACAAATTTCACGAAAAACGAAAATATTTATTTGGGGTATTTAAATTTCCCCGCCAATTATCTGTCGATAATAAACTATTCGCTGCAGGTAAATTACCGACTGTGAGAAAAAGGAATTTCTCGATTGAACAGCGTCGATGCAATATGCAATTCGGTACAGACTTTCTACGCATAGTTTCTAGAGAAATTTACGTGTACCGAATGATTTCCCATCGTAGTTTCATAGACCTTACACCTTATGAACTTTCGTGGCCCGATCTGACTGCCATACCGACCTGAAAATTCGTAGTTGATTTTAACGTCCTCTTCTCATGAATGGCGGTCAGTTGAGAAACTATTCACTGAATTAGCGTTGATGGGCAGGCAGTTGTAACGTGTGTGTAAATACATGCTAGATGACTATGGGGAAGGGATTGAAATTCATTTCGAAATCTGTTGGTAATGTTGCGAGTGACACGAAAATGGTAATGGGGTTTCGAGACCCCATAAAAGTGGGCCGAAAAAATACATTAGGTGAAAGATCTATTCTTATACCTCGTCTGGGACAATACTTTAGACTCTTCGATGAATCAATGAGAATCAAAACTATGCATCGAACAAACCAAACAAGTAGTGAAATATGGAAGGAGACCAAAGAAGTAAAAGCAAGATGAAACCCCACACTCAAGCCCAACAGACGCTCGAAAGTCGAAAAAGAAATTAGAAAGGGGAGATCCGGAACTCGCTCACTAATGGTCACTAATGGTCAGCACTGGTCACCAAAGTTAGCCTCAGGCAGAAGAGTTAAAGGGGTGGGGAAGACCGTCCATGGCGAGTTCACCAATCAATTAACAGTTAACCGTGCCTTCGACCGAAAAATGAATATTCCACGCAAAATGGTATTAAAAACAATTATTTATACAACCCACCCTATCGAGCATTATTTTAACTATTGCCTGATGTTAATTAATAATTATTGCAAACAGTAGGAATGAAAATATGGCCAAATTCGAGGAGGCTGAAGGATTCTTTGAATTTCTAACGAGAACCAAGATCTAAAGGCCCAGAAAAATGGGCCGAAAAAATACATTGGGGTATACTACTCGTGTACCTCGTATGTGGTATTTGTTCCCCACCAACAATTTTGCGAACTGCGTCGTCACATGTGGGCCAATTTGTCCTTCATGGTGCGTTCGTATTTACCTACTGTCGATTATGTTTCTTTTACATTCCGCGTGATGTCAAGCGCCCTGGAAAGAACAATAATTTTCATTTCGCGGCGGCCTTGATAGACCGGCACAAGTGATCGGACGACATTCCAGAAGTAGCGAGAACGTCGCGCTTCAGGCACGCACTACGATTAACTATAATGTAGTTGATACCGTGAACACGTTTCTTGGCCCCCGAGCGTTTCTTCGGACCCTAATCGTTCATGAAATTCGATGAAATGCGTAGAAATTAATCATGGCGCAACTGTCTCCTGGAAGTGCTAATGCATCACCTAATGACACATCAAATAAACTTACTGTCACAAGTTATATTATACTGGATTATGATAATAAAGCCAGTAGAAGATAGCACCTTACAGAATTCATTTACTTCCTCTGTATGATAGCACTGTTTCAATGAACTATAATTAGGTATGCCCAATGACATAACAGTGTATGTACTTTTTAATTTTACACAACAGTGCCATCATAAAACCATCCTATGAATATTATAATAAAAATAGACTAATTAGAGTAGATAGTCTAATGTAATACACCTGTTCGCTCGTTATTGAGGAGTGCTGTATAATCAGGTGTGACTAATGGCCTAACAGCGCATCCATTTATTAATGTTTATGACACTACTATCTCCCCCCTTCGTAATTTCTTACCACATTACAATTACTCCACACCGGTGGTCTAACCCGGTTCATCTATGGTCAATTTACATACACAGTATTATTTTAATATACCACAATCATTCTATATGATCAGAATGGAAATTATAATGCATTAACTTTCAAATAAAAGAACACGTAATTTCACTATAACCTCTTACATTAAATTATTTGTAATATGTAAATGAAATATACACAAGCTTGCTTAGTTTCCTTGTTGTTTGAGAAACTGGGGGTCCCCGACTCATGGACATCCTGAGGCCCCTAAATGTAGTGCCGGATTCTTACCAATTACAACCCCATGGTGACCACCCTCTGATCATGTGAAGGGGGACTGAGAACCCTTATGAGGCATCACAGCCCCCCCCCCAAGGAATGAGGTGTTCCACAGTGCATTCAACTGTTACACGAATATTTTTCCCTGTTTCTATTGTAATAAGCACAGACATGACCTGACACAATACATCTGATTTCTCACTTCCAATAACCGCATTATCATATTCCGAAGGCCGTCTTGCACTTCTTACTTTTCACATGACGCAACCAGGCGATGCATGTTTCTATTTTATCATAGAGAGATACTCATCCACGTTCCCTCATACACAGCCGCCTATTAAACTCCACTGTTTACGCAACGATACCCATAGCCAACGTGCATTCCGCTCTTTTACTTGTTCCCCCCGTGGCCGTGCACACACGTGCACGCTGGAATGCGAATATCATTGTACCAGAAGTCCACCAATCCCTTCTCGTAAATTCTGCGAGCGTATTATGCGGTTGCATTCACCTGATACAACTGTGCTGGGAGATCCTACATCGGAGCGGATAGGCAATATCAACGTAGCCTAGAAGGAGGCACCTGGCAGATCAATGAATATTTCATTGGAAATTACTGTTTATGCGGGGAAAGTCAGCCGACCCATTGCTTAAATCCTCATTATGATACTTGCATAAACATTTCCAAATGGCATCCACGGCGCATGACCTTTTTAAAGCTGTCCATTAATCAGCTAATTCTGAATTCCGTAAATAGTTGTATCCGGCTCGTTACATTACTCCTTTACGGGATCGCAATAGCACAGATCCTAATCTTGACCGCTTTCTTGCCATCTGCAGGTCCGGCTGGAGAGCATAGGTGCTGAGGACATAGTCGATGGAAATCCAAGGTTGATACTGGGATTGATCTGGACGATCATCCTCAGATTTCAGATTCAGGAAATCGAGATTGACGTGGACGAGGAGAATGACAGCAGCGAAAAGAAGTCCGCCAAAGACGCCCTGTTGCTCTGGTGCCAGAGGAAAACCAATGGCTATCCAGGAGTTAATATTCAGGATTTCACTGGTAAATGAAACTTCTGTGTCAGGAATAAAAAGCCTGTTTCGAACAATATAGAAGCGTATAACATGCATGTGTTGTTTGTTCCAGGATCCTGGAGAAGCGGTCTGGGTTTCAACGCCCTCATACACGCTCATAGGCCAGACCTGGTCGAGTGGACGGACTTGCAACAGAATAAACATATCGACAACCTCAACTATGCCTTTGACGTGGCCAATTCCGAACTTGGGATTCCACGATTATTGGACGCGGAAGACGTTGATACAGCACGTCCTGACGAGAAATCTATCATCACCTATGTCGCCTCTTACTATCACACCTTCGCCAGAATGAAGAACGAAATCAAGAGTGGCAAAAGAATCGCAAATGTATGTAAATTATACGTAATTTTAATCTTTATCCCATACTCGATAAATCAGGTAAAAACTAAGTTTCAGTCTACCCGATTATGTGTCAAATATTCCCTGTTTGTTTTTAATATTTACCGAAGTTTGTCGAAAGCCTTTAAGTTGCTCGATGTCTGTAGATTGTGGGACAAATGATGGACGCCGATAAGATGAAGATCCACTATGAGAAGCTCACGACAGACTTGTTGGAATGGATCAAGATGAAGATAGGAGTTCTGGAGAACCGAAACTTTCCCAACTCCCTAGAAGGCATACAACGTGAATTGCTAACTTTTAAGCAATACAGAACAGTGGAGAAGCCACCCAAGTATAAAGAGCGATCCGAAATAGAAGCTTTGTACTTTCACATAAACACCCAATTGAAATCGTTGAACCAGCCAGCGTTTACGCCTCAGGAGGGTCAATTGGTGCACGACATCGAGAGGAATTGGGTGGAGCTAGAACGGGCAGAGCATAGGCGAGAGGTAGCCCTGAGAACCGAGCTTCTTCGTCAAGAGAGGCTCGAGCAATTGAACTACAAGTTCGAAAGGAAGAGTATACTCAGGGAGGGCTACTTGAAGGAGATGATTCAAGTGTTGACGGATCCAAGATACGGTAGCAACTTGGCGCAGGTGGACGCCACGGTGAAGAAGCACGAAGCCATCAGCGCTGACATCTTGGCCAGAGAGGAACGGTTTCATGATTTGACAAACATGTCGGAGGAGCTTGTGAGAGAGAACTATCACGGCTTGGAGAGGGTTCAGGTCAGGGAACAGGAAGTACTGCAAAGGTGGAAGGAGCTTCTGGCCCTCTTGGACCATCACAAGTCCAACCTGGTTGCCCTGAGTTCCCTCACGAGCCTGATGCGAGAGATCGACACGACTTTAGCCTCTATTCAAGAACTCCAGCTGTACTTCCAGAGCACAGACGTTGGGCCACATTTGCTGGGAGTCGAGGATCTGTTGCAGAAGCACAGCTTGCAGGAGCTACAGGTGACCGCCTTGGGAGAGACTCAAAGGAGATTGGGCAGGCAAGCTGCTCAGCATTTGGCGCAACCTCAGAGCAAAGAGGTGCCTCTGCTTCAACAGAAACTGGACATGCTGAACCGTGCCTCTGACAAGCTGGTGGAGTACAGCAAGGAGCGCAAAGCTCGCCTCGAGGACGCTAGGAACTTCTACCACTTCCTCCAAGACCACGAGGACGAAGAGTCCTGGCTGATCGAGAAACAGCGAATTTGCAAGGCCGGGATCTCTGCTAAGGATCTGCGCGCTGTGATCTCGCTGCAACAGAAACACAAGGCTCTGCAGGATGAGATGAAAGTACGGAGGCCCAAGTCCGAACAGCTTTGCGACGCTGGCCGTAAACTGATCGCGGATAGCCACCCGTCGTCCCTGGAAATTCAGAACCGCATCGATTCGTTGCAAGAGCACTGGAAGGTCCTGGAGGAGTTGGCTGCGCTGAGGAAGAAGCAGCTGGACGACGCCGCCGAAGCCTTCCAATTTTACGCGGACGCGAACGAAGCTGACTCTTGGATGAACGAGAAGATGGCTCTTGTAGCTTCTGAGGATTACGGCGTGGACGAACCGAGCGCCCAGGCGCTTCTGCAGCGACACAAGGACCTGGAGGGAGAGCTGAATGCTTACAAGGGCGACGTGCAGTCTCTAAACATGCAGGCTGAGAAGCTTATTAAATCTGGAATCTCCACCCTTGAGCTGTCTGCTGATTCGGAACCAGTCGCTGAGCTGGAACAGGAAGAATGGAGTAAGTTATATTTTACAACCTGTAAACTTAGAGTAACACTCGTATAAACCCTTCTACTTCGTTTTTAGGCAAAGAAATAAGGTTGGTCCCTCAAGACGAGTGGGTCGACGAAATCGTGGAACGAATGGAAACTAGAACGGTCCTTGAGGACAGACTGGTGCCCCAGGTGAAGAGTCTGTATCCGTTCAGTGGTCAGGGTATGCAGATGGTGAAGAATGAAGTTATGTTTCTGCTGAACAAAACCAACCCGGATTGGTGGAGCGTCAGGAAGGCCGACGGTACAGATGGTTTCGTGCCAGCCAAATACGTATGCGAGTTCGAGCCCAAGGTGATACAGGTTCAGGTGAAGAGGCCGGAGAAAGTTCGAGTGACGCAGAGAGTGAAGAAGACGAAAATGGTGAAGCAAATGGTTCCGGTTAGGAGGGTCAAGTCCATAAAGTCTACCGTGAAACCGATCAAGCGGAAGACCGCTACCAGCGACGGCGACAGCGTCGAGAAACGACAGAAGAAGATCAACGACACTTATGGCGAGCTCCAGGAGTTGGCAGTTAAGCGGCACGCGTTGCTGGAGGACGCCATACGGCTGTACGGCTTTTACCGCGAGTGCGACGACTTCGAGAAGTGGATCAAGGACAAGGAGAAGATGCTGAGAGTCGACGATCCTCGCGACAACGTTGAAACCGCGAAGAGGAAGTACGAGAAATTCCTCACCGACCTGTCCGCGTCGGGGAAACGCGTCGAGGCCATAGACGCGGCCGTCGACGAGTTCGTCAGACAGGGACACAGTCAGTTGGACAAGGTGAAAGCCAGACAGAGGCACATCCATCAACTCTGGGACCATTTGAACTGGCTGAAGGCGCAGAAGGAGAAGAGCCTGGAGGGGGCCTCGAGCGTGGAGTTGTTCAACAGGACTTGCGACGAGGCTCACGATTGGATGCTGGAGAAGATTACCCAGCTGGACACCGCGGAACTGGGGCCTGACCTTAAAACGGTGCAGGCTTTACAGAGACGACACCAGCACTTGGAGAGGGAGTTGGCACCCGTCGAAGAAAAAGTACGATCGTAATTTTTAACAAAATTCTATTATGGGAAGGTAAATCAGAGATCAAACTACATTTCTCGTTCCAGGTGAGGAAAGTGAACTTGTTAGCCAACAGCGTAAAGAGTTCTTATCCCCATGAACTGAACAACGTAAACGCCAGGCAAAACGAGATCAAGGAGCTCTGGAACCAGGTTCAAACCAAAGCCAAGGAACGGAGGTCCAGGTTAGAAGACGCAGTTGGCCAGCAGATTTTCATGAACAGCTCCAAGAACTTGATCAATTGGGCTGCGGACGTGCAGGACACTATGAAGGTGGAGGAGCCCGTCAGAGACGTTGCTACCGCCGAGCAGCTTAGAAAGCAGCACATGGAGTTAGGAGAAGAAGTAAGAACGCGGGAAGACGAGTAAGCATTAGAATCTTTTACATTCTTTGTGACCAGAGCTACTTGCCATTTGCATTTCCAAGCACATCTTCTGTTCTTTCAGGTTCAGAGAAGTCGAAGAACTTGGGAACCAACTGCTTCATCGTAATCCAGCTTTGGTCGATGTCAGCGAACGCTTAGATAAATTGCACGGTCTGTATCAATCCGTGACATCCAATTGGATGGCGAAGGAAGCCTGGCTCCAGCAGTGTCTGGAACTACAACAATTCAATCGGGAGGCTGATCAAATCGAGGCTACCACCAGCTCTCACGAGGCATTTTTAGAGTTCACCGACTTGGGGGAATCCTTGGACGATGTGGAGGCTTTGCTTAAACAGCACGAGAAGTTCGAGAATACTCTACACGCGCAGGACGACCGATTGAAAGCCTTCAGCGACACCGCGAACAAGCTGATCGCTCAGAACCACTATGACAAAGATTAGTAAGTCCTTTCATATTGATTGCTTAGGTCTGATCTACGGCTAACCCGATCTAAATGTTGTGTGCAGTATCAACGAGAGGAGAAATCAAGTGTTGGCGCGACGAATGGGAGTCAAAGAGGCTGCCCAACGTCGTCGAGCGGCTCTAAACGCCTCGGAGCATTATCAGCAATTCTCGGCGGAGGTAGACGATCTGCGTGACTGGTTAGGCGATAAAATGAAGACCGCGTCCGACGAAAGCTACCGTGACCTGAACAATCTCGAACGGAAGCTTCAGAAGCACGAAGCTTTCGAGAGGGAGCTCAGAGCCAACGAGGGGCAACTGAGAGCGGTCAATAAAGCTGGGAAGGCTCTGATATCTGAGGAGAATTACAGGTCGGATGACGTAGGCGAAACGTTGAAAGAGCTGAACGATCAGTGGGAAACATTGGTAGCGTTGTCTCTGGAAAAGGGACGCAGACTGAGGCAGGCTGCCTGCCAACATGGCTACAATCGTACCATGGAAGATGCTAGGTTGAAGTTGGAGGAAATTGAGAATTGCTTGCAGAGCAAGCAAGTAGGAGTAGACCTCAGGAGTTGCAAGGAGTTGCTGAAGAAACATCAAACGCTCGAGAGCGATATGTGTCAGTGGGAACAGAAGGTGGATGATCTTGTGGCCATCGGTGAAGAGATGGCTCACGAGGGGCACTTCGATGCTGCGAACATACTGAAAACTAGCCAGGCGACTCAAAGGAAGTACGTGTTGCTTGGACACTTTGTTAATATTATGTAATTCGTCTGTTAATTCCATTGGGTTATAGGTTCCGTAGTTTGAAGGAGCCAGCCAAGAGAAGACGAGAGGCGTTGGAAGAAAGTTTACGCTTCCATAAGTTTGGTTTCGAATTGGATGCGGAGCTGCAGTGGATAAAAGATCATCTTCCCCAAGCATCTTCAACGACCCTTGGACAGAATCTGCATCAAGCTCAGACCTTGCATAAAAAGCACAAAAAGCTCGAGGCAGAGATTGCTGGACATCAACTCATGATCGACAAAACCTCAGCTTCCGGACAGGCTCTGATCGATCAAGCACACCCGGAGAAGAAAAAGGTAATAATATTTACTATAAAACTATGTTGTATATATGTTTCCAGAGGAAAAGAGAATATACATGCCCTCCTTGTTCATCCTATATTGTTATACAGAGAGTTTGAAATAAAAATTTATGATTTTTGCACAGTTTGGACTGTTACAAGAATATTGGGTCTACAGAGGTAAGGTTGGCACAAATGCATGAATGGTGTTGTTTCATTTAAAGAAAATAACATTGTAATTATTCTCGAGTATTTTTCAACAAAGGTCTTGATACGAATTTTTTTTATATTAATATTTCAAAACAACAGAACAGCTTCAGTGTTGCAAGATGCTTCCAGACAGATTTTTCGTACGTTCAGCTGCGAACAAGAATCGTGAAAATTTTTAACGCATGCATGTGCTTGTCTTACGTGATTTATCTCAGAAACATTAATGTGTTTTTCTTTTATTAACGGTAGAAATTTGTTTTATTTAATTCGTTCACATATAAGAAAACTATTAGTGAAATTTTACTTCGTAAGACTAATATGTCCTTTATTTCTATTTAAGTTTGCATATAATGTTTCTGCTCTGCTTAATGCAATCAAATTATGAAGTTCGATTTTTGCATAGATACGAGAACTATGCGACGAGCTCGACGACGCGTGGAGAGATTTGCAAGAGAAAGCAGGGGAACGAAGCAAAGCGTTGGATCTATCGTTGAAAGCACAAGAGTTTTTCTTCGAGGCAGGTGAAGTTGAAAGTTGGCTGAACGAAAAGAACGACGTTCTCAGCTCCACTGATTATGGCAGAGATCGCGATGCCGCTACAAAACTGTTAACAAAGCACAAGGTACGTTCACCTTCATTTTTTCTAACAGAATTAATGGAACAGATTCACGAAACAATTTAACGTTCCAGGCTGTCGAATTAGAACTAGATACGTACAACGGTATCGTAACGGAAATGGGGCATACAGCCACTAGCATGATCAATGCAAAGCATCCCGACAGCAAAGCGATAGCAAACAAGCAACAAGCAATCGCCCAACAAATGCGGGCATTGCAAAGGCTGGCCACAGTAAGGCAGCAACGTTTAATGGAGAGTATGTATCGCCACGAATACTTCTTAGAAAGTAGAGAGTTAGAGCAATGGATCAAGGAGCAGGAACAAGCGGCCGGATCCGAAGACTATGGCCAAGACTACGAACACTTGCTAATACTGCAAGCTAAGTTTAATGACTTTAAGCATAGAATAGAGGCTGGTTCGGAGCGGTTCAATCAGTGCGAAGAGCTGGCTAGGAAATTGATCGCCAACGAGAGCCCTTACATTCAGGACATCGAGAAACGCCAAGAACAATTGGGGTAAGATTTTCATATCATAGATATTTCAGTCGAGCACATAATATTGAATCGAAAACTCTGGAGACTCCTAAAACTTCGACTCTACTAAATGCATGTTCAACTCTTTGAACTTATTTCTAAATTCCACTGTGGTATTGGCACTTCCTATTTGGTAGTAAATTGTTAGATTTTAATATAATTGTATATTATGGAAAAATGGTAAACGGGTAATAGAAGTATACGAAGTATAGACAATGCAATAATGATCAAGTATTTTGGTGTTGGGTTGCTAACAGTCTTTTTGTACATATATTTAACGCAGACAAGATGATGATGACCCTGTAAGGCAAGTGCAGAAGCAACGTGTTGCGATGGAGTGAGTACACATTGGAGAATTTTTAATATGCTTAACTTGTGTATATTATATGTGTGATGATATCTTCTAGAAAGAAATGCGTTAATGAATAGAAACCAATATTACTAAACTTTTCATTAGGGAATCTTGGCAGCACCTCCTTGGTCTTATTCGAAATCGAGAGCAGAGACTGCAAGCAGCGGGAGAAATTCACAGGTTCCATCGCGATGTCGCCGAAGCTTTATCGCGTATACAAGAAAAGGAAGCAGCCCTGCCGGAGGATCTAGGACGCGATCTGAATTCCGTCTTGGCACTGATCAGACGCCACGAAGGCTTCGAAAATGATCTGGTGGCTTTGGAGGCACAGCTGCAAGTTTTGGTCGAAGACGCGTCGCGATTGCAAGTGCACTATCCGGGCAACAATGCTGTACATATCGATCAACAACAACAAATTGTCGTTGCTCATTGGGAAGAACTGAAGGAGAGGTCTGCTCATAGAAGAGATCAGTTGCAAGCAAGTTGCGACTTGCAGCGATTTTTAACTCAGGTATTGACTCATTGAACTCAATTTAAGCAAATCCAGAAATGTAATTTGTTAAATGTGTTTCCAGGTTAGAGATTTAATGAATTGGGCAGCCGGGCTTCGTGCCACGATGTCAACGGAGGACAAAGTGAGAGACGCGGCGAGTGCACAGCTCTTGAAGGCTGAGCACGAAGCGCTGAAAGGGGAGATCGAGGCCAGAGAGGCCAGTTTCAGTTCTGTTCTTGATTTAGGCGAAGCCATGGTTCAAACTGGCCACTATGCAGCCGTGGTAAGTTTTTCAAATACATGGCTCGTCTTTCTACCTACTTCCTAGATGCAAGAAACCATTTTATATCGTCCACAGGAAGTGGAGGAGAAATGCAGTCAGCTGCTCGACGAGAGGCAGAAGCTTCATTCTGCCTGGCAACAGAAGAAGATTCATCTGGACCAGCTCATAGACCTACACTTCTTCCTACGAGACGCCAAGCAACTGGACAACTTGTCGACCACCCAGGAGGCTGCTTTGAGCGGCGACAATTTTGGGGACTCCGTGGAGGAGGTGGACGCACAGGTCAAGAAACACAACGAATTTGAGAAGCTCTTAGTGACGCAGGAAGAGAAGTTATCGGCCCTGCAGGAGCACGGTAACAAACTGCTGGCGCAGAATCACTTCGATTCGCCAACCATAGCGAGACGGTTGAGCGAGGTGGTGCAAAGGCGAGCGAGGATCCGAAATCTCTGCGAATCGCGACGAAACAGGCTGGAGGCGGGCTTGTTGCACGCGCAGTTTGTCAGAGACGTAGCGGAGGCAGAGTCTTGGATCGGCGAGAAGCAAAAGAAGCTAGAGGCAGAGGCGTCGAAGGGCGAGGTGTCCAGTTTGGAGGACAAGATCAAGAAGTTGCAGAAACACCAGGCGTTCCAAGCAGAGCTGGCGGCGAATCAGAGCAGAATCGAGGAGATCAAGGCCAAAGGAGAGACGCTGCTCGCGCAAAAGCACCCGGCAAGTACAGAGATTCGACAGCAATTGGACAACCTGCACGCGTCCTGGAGGAAGTTGCTGCTGGAGTCTGGTAACCGTGGCAGAGGCTTGGAAGAGGCGCAGGATATTCTCGAATTCAATAACCAGGTGGAGAAGATCGAGGCGTGGATACGTGATAAGGAGATGATGGTCCAAGCTGGCGACACTGGTAAGGATTACGAGCACTGCTTGAGCCTCCAAAGGAAGCTCGACGACGTGGACAGCGACATGAGGGTGGACGACTCGAGGATAAAGACGATCAACGCTTTGGCGGATAAGCTCATCAAACAGGGCAGGGATAACGAGTCCAAGGCCATCCAGCAGCGACGCGACAATTTTAACAGCAAGTGGAAGGGCCTGCAAGGAGCGTTAAGTGCGTACAGGGAAACGTTAGCAGGAGCGCTGGAGATCCATCTGTTCAACAGGGACATCGATGACACGAGTCAAAGAGTCATCGAGAAATCTGTAGCCATGAACACGTCGGACGTGGGCAAGGATCTGCCTGCTGTCGAACACTTGCAGAGAAAGCAGGAGGCGATGGAACGCGATATGACTGCCATCGAAGGAAAGTTGAAAGATCACAAGGCGGACGCTAGAGGCCTGTCGCAAAAGTACCCGGACAAAGCACCCCAAATCAATGGCATTCTGTCGGAATTGCAGTCCAACTGGGACGATCTACAGCGTCTCACTCAGTATCGCCGCGAGGCGTTGAATCAGGCCTACACTCTGCACAAATTCCAAGCCGAGCTACACGAACTGGAGCTCTGGGTGGTGGATACGATCAAACGGATGGACGAGTCCGAACCACCGACGACGATATCCGAGGCTGAATCTCTGTTGGAGCTCCATCAAGAGCGGAAGGCAGAGATAGATGGCAGGCAAGACACGTTCAAGGCCTTGAAGGAGCATGGACAGAAGCTTCTCGCCATCAACGAAGACGTGAAGGACAACCTGGAGTATTTGGAAGAGTTCAGGCAGGGGCTGGTTAATGCTTGGGAGAGTAGAAGGCAAAAGCTGACGCAGGCTCATCAATTGCAGTTGTTTAAAGAACAAGTAAGTGTTGAAACGGCAACTCTTAATACAAGTTTAATAAAAGTCACTGGTAACACTCTTGAGCTAATGATTTCTGCGTTATTTGTTTTAGGCTGATCAAGCTGATGGCTGGCTAGCAACGAAAGAAGCGTTCCTCAACAACGACGATCTGGGTGAGTCCTTGTCGGGCGTTGAAGCGTTGTTGCGCAAGCACGAGGAGTTTGAAAAGATGCTGGTATCGCAATTGGGACGTGTCGAGGAATTAGAGAAGTTCGCGAACGATATCTTGTCTGAAGAGCACGCTGATGCAAGTATTATAAAACAGAGACTAGTGTCCGTCTGTGCTCGAAGGGATAAGCTGCAGAACAGCGCAAGAGCAAGGAGGAAAAAACTGTTGGAGAGTCATCATTTGCATCAGTTCCTTAGGAACATATACGAAGTTGAGGGCTGGTTGCATCAAAAGCAACAGGTGGCTAGCGACGAGAATTACAGGGACTCGTCGAATTTGCAAAGCAAGATACAGAAGCACACTGCTTTTGAGAGTGAGCTGATGGCCAATAAAGGACGAGTGGCGGCAGTGGTCAACGAAGGTAAACCCTAACTTACATTCTGCAAGTTCTATACAAACTAGAAAAGAAATATTGATTTTTAATTGTATTTTTCATCAGGTGAAGCACTAATCGAAGAGAATCATTACGCTTCGGACAGCATACAAGAGCGTTTAGAAGAATTGGAAGCGGAATGGCGTCTCCTGCAAGAGACCAGCGAGCTGAAGAAGAACAGATTAAACGACGCCTATCAAGCTTTACTGTTCGGCCGTACTTTGGACGAGTTCGAGACGTGGATGGACGAGGTGGAGACTCAGTTGCAATCGGAGGACCACGGGAAAGATCTGTCCAGCGTAGCGAACCTGTTGAAGAGACACACCAATTTAGAAAACGACGTTCTAGGGCACAACGAGGCCTGCGAATCGATCAAGGACACAGCGACCAGTTTCCAGAAGTCGAAACACTTTATGTGCGACGAGATACAAGACAGGGCGCTGGTCACCATAAACAGGTATCACAGCTTGCAAGAACCGATGCAGATAAGAAGGGACAACTTGGAAGACGCGAAGTTGTTGCATCAGTTCGCGAGGGACGTTGAGGACGAGCTACATTGGCTGTCAGAGAAGGAGCCTTTGGCTGCTAGCAACGACTTAGGCAGTTCGTTGACCACTGTGCAGCGATTGCAGAAGAAACACCATGCTTTGGAGGCGGAGTTGATATCCAGAGAGCCCGTAGTGTCGTCCCTGGTCAGCAGGGCCACGATCATGGTGAGAAGCGGTCACTTCGCGTCGGAGAAGATCGAAAAATTGTCACAGGAACTGCAAGAGAAGCTTTCGCACCTTAGGGATTTAGCCAGCGTGAGAAAGCTGCGCTTGCTTGACGCCGTCGAGTCGCAAATGGTAATTAATAAATTGGTACAAGTTCACTTGGTCTATGAAATGGTGTTTTGCAAATTGTTATTTTCAGTTCTACGCCGAGGCTGCCGAGGCTGAACAATGGATAAAAGAGAAACACCCACAATCGACGTCTATTGATTATGGAAAGGACGAAGATTCTGTTCAGTCCTTGCTGAAGAAGTTGGAAGAGATCGAACGAGACTTACTAGGTTTCGAGAACACCATTTTGAACCTCAGAAAGCTGTCGCACGGATTGACGGAAAGGCACCATTTCGATAGCAAGAACATCTCGCAGAAACAGACAGAGATCGAGCAGAAGTTCAAAGAATTGCAGAAACTGAAGGACTATCGATTACAGCGACTGAGGGAGAGCGAGAAGTTCTTCAAGTTCATCAGGCAAGCGGATGAGGTGATCGAGTGGATCGGAGACCAAACGACGGTAAGTCCCAGGAATATAATCGGTCTTCGCCAATTGATCGTGATGGTAGATCGATATCGACGGATGGGAATAAATTTGTTCCAGGTCGCAGCTTCTGAGGACTACGGTCGTGACGTGGAACACGTCGAGCTTCTAATCCAGATATTCGACAACTTTCTAGCAGGTTTGACGACCAGCGAGGGCCGTGTATCGGCAGTCCTCGACGCAGGACAGAAGCTGATGGAGGAGAACAACCCAGAAAAGAACAAAATACTGATGAAGATCGAAGAAACGAAGCAACAGTGGGAGGATCTGAAGGAATTGGCGCACGCGCGTCAGGACGCGTTAGCGGGTGCAAAGCAGGTGCACATGTTTGACAGGACAGCCGATGAAACTATCTCGTGGATTCAGGAGAAAGAAACTGCCCTCAGTTCTGATGGTTACGGTCACGATTTGGAAACGATTCAGGCTCTAGTGAGGAAGCACCAAGGATTTGAGACCGATCTGGGTGCCGTGAAAGAGCAGGTATTCCAACAGAAAATATGATATAACTTATTGTAAGTGACTTTCTGTTTCCAAAACGAGTTTGATGATTGTATTGTTAGGTCGAGTTGCTGATGGATGAAGCCTCCAGGTTGATCGAATTGTTCCCGGACGCCCGTATACACATAGACGTGAAGCACCAAGAGGCTGAAGCAGCCTGGACCGAGCTACTGGAGAAAGCAGCCCAAAGGCGAAGCAAGCTGTCGCAAGCAGAGCAGTTGCAATCGTACTTGGGCGAGTACAGGGACTTGATGTCCTGGATAAACGAAATGGTGGCCAAGGTAACTGCCCCGGAACTGGCTCGCGACGTGCCCGGCGCCGAGGCACTGATATCCAGGCACAGCGAGTACAAAGCGGAGATCGAGACGCGCAACGAGGCCTTCGACAAGTTCTACAAGATCGGCCAGGAACTGATAGAGCAGGGACACTTCCTGGCGAAAGAAATCGAGGACAAGATATCCGTGTTGCGGTACCGTCAGCAGTTCCTCAAAGACACTTGGGAGCAAAGGAGGCACATATACGAGCAGAATCTGGACACGCAGTTGTTCAAGCGAGAGGCCGAAACGCTGGAGAACTGGATCGTGAGCAGGGAGCCTATGCTGCACGATGGGAAGTTTGGCGAGACTATACCGCAGGTCGAGGAGCTGATAAGAAAGCACGAAGACTTTGAGAAGACCATCGAGGCTCAGGAGGAACGATTCAGCGCGCTGAAGCGTATAACCATGTTGGAGCAGGCGTTCCAGAAACAACAACAGGCGGAGATGGCGGCGAGGCAAGCGGAGAAAGAGAGAATAGAGCGCGCCCGTCTCGAGGAACGGAAACGCAAAGAGGTGCAAAGGATAACGGAAGAGAGGAAACGCGAGGAGGAACGAAGACGACTGTTGGACAGCCCTCATCGTAGCGTCCACGACGACGTAAACGGCACGACCGAAGAACACGAGTCCATCAACAAGTTGTCGCCTCTGAAGACTTCGAACATGTCCGACAGCTTGGAGTCGCCGTCGATCCAGAAACCACACGGCATGTCTCACGTGTTCGGCGAGAAATTGAGAAGAACGACGCCGGACATCAAGAGAGCCGAAAGCATGAAAGTGGACACGAAGAAACCGAAGAGGACGCCGAGCTTCACGACCAGGAGGAGGACCCAGAGCTTCCGGAAGCTCCAGCGTATGGAGAACATGGATGCCCTGCCCCCGGTGGAGATCCAAGGCTTCCTCGAGAGGAAACACGAGCTGCAAAGCGCTGGAAAAAAGGCTGCCGTGCGTTCCTGGAAGCAATACTACACGGTACTGTGTGGACAATTGTTGTGCTTCTTCAAAGAGATGGAGGACTTCTCGTCGAGCAAAGCAGCCACCGCCCCCATCACCATCTTCAACGCCATATGCGAGAAGGCGGACGACTACACGAAGAAGAAGAACGTGTTCAGGTTGAAGTGTACAGACGGATCGGAATTCCTGTTCCTCGCTCCTAGCCAGCAGGAGATGGAGGACTGGGTCAACAAGATATCCTTCCACGCCAAGTTGCCGCCCAGCTTGCAGCTTCTGAGTTACGACGAGTCGCAGAAGGAGGGTTTGGAGAGGTTGCAGAACGTGTCTGTCGAGCATGCCGACGACAACATGTCCACCGGTAGCAGCCACGCGTCTACCCCTGAACTCGAGCGAAAGAATTCTGTGATCAGACGCGACGTGTCCAACTCCTCGAGCAGCGTTCAAATCGAGTTCCTTCAGATGCACAGACAGAATCAACAGAGACGAGATCCGCAGAACAACGCCGAGTTCATAGCTACTCCTAGAACGGAGCTGCACCAAACGCAAACGGAGTTCCTGCAAATGCACAGACAGCAGCAATTGATGGCGCAGCAGCAACAGTTGATACAGCAGGAACAGCTGGCGAACCAGAGGGATCAATATCAATCCAATTCGGGAGAGAAGCCACCGATCCCGCCGAGAGGTGCTCCGCCCCCAATTCCTATGCGTTCACCGAGTTCAGAGGCTTTGCCCCAATATAGACGCGAGGGTATGTTAATTTACAATTGCGTCTATATTCTGTACTCTTTGGTTAACCGATAGTTAACTTTTGTTTCTTGAACCTGTTCGTGCAGATGTTGAACACGTACAAGGGAGACCTAGCTTCTACCAACAACGTAGCGCAACACTGAACCATAACGGGTCTGGTCAGTACACGTCTAACGCAACCTGGCATAGACAAAGTAGCGGTGACATCACCTCTCAACATCAAGGTACTATAACTACTCTTGGGAGAACACTTTGAACGCGTGTGTGTATGCGTAGGTCCCTTTTCCAACAATAAAAGTTGATCGTTATTTTATAGAAGTAGCACCTCCCTTGCCATCGAGTGCCCCTCCACCAACCAGAATGGCTCAGTGGAGTGCTCCTCACGATCCTGGTTAGTCGTTGTCAATTGTTTGTGAAATCTTTCGTACTCGACGCTCTTGCATGCTGCGATACAACATCCCCAACACGTTACGTGTTTCTCTTCTTGCTTATCCTAGCCTGCGTACCTAGCTGCTGAGAACTCGAAGAAACGTCTAACACTCCTTCTTTGTGCTAACATATTTCATTTTATCTATATACGAGAGTTTGATCACACGAAACTTCAGCGATTATTATTTTTATGTAAGAAACGAACGTCGAGAGAAACATGGGTATTGTTTTCTGTTACAGCTTATGGAAATGTCCCAGTAAATACCAGACAGGTAATTATCATTTTGCTAAATTCCGACATAGCGATTTAAGCTAATTATAACGAAGTAATAGTTGTGTCGAGGCGTTCACTGTCCGGACTCTCAGCGGCGTATCCAAAAGCGTGGCGCTATGACCCGTATACGGGTCATGGACAGTGAACGTGTTGACTATTAATTCGAGTGCAACATTTCTATTTGTTTGTTGTAGGGTTTGCAGCAGAATAATTCCTTCACGGGTAGGCCAGTGTCTTTACCGCCATACGTAGCCCCGCCTGCTGTGCCACAAAACTCGCAAAACATAGTGGTGGACAGCAGGAGAGCCAGCGAGAGTGGATCGGAAAGCGAACACAGCATGGGTAGTAATCGCAAGGATCGCGATTGCAAGAGGAGTTCTGTTTTGAGTAATCTATTTGGTAGACGTAAGAAACCTCAATCGTAACCTTATAGGCGATTACGTTTACGCACGCTTGCGTAAACATTCACGGAACAGTGTGGCAAATGATAAATAGTTCCTTGGAAACTGTTGGGAAGAACACGTGTATATGTTATCTTTGCTGCATGATACATTAACATCCCCTGTAAATTATTTTTATGTACTATACAAGTTTTACTCGGAGTATAAATTTATCTTTATTGTTCACGTTGTTCGATAGCGTTGATGATTATGGACAACGTAAGTTTAACGAACAGAGTACTTGATTCTAATAGTTTAAGAATCTGAGGGAGTTGTAGCTCTTCGCAATTTAACATTTATTTAGTTCAGCGTTATGCTGTCCAAATTAATAAGGAAACCCAGTTACATCGGATACGCGCGTCTCTCTTGTTTCAATAATTCTGTCATATTGGGAAATACTTTTATCACATGATGATAACTTCTAAGAAGTTTTGTACCATGTTCGACGCAAATATCGAACTCGTTGAAAGTATAGACACTGATCTATAATGTACCGGATACATTAAGGATCGAGAGAGATTGTTACAGACAACATTCGAAGAATTATTATTATTTAAAGTTTGATTCTAATAGCTTGAAAAAAAAAATCTATTACGCAACATACGATTTTCTTGATTCGCGAATAGTTACAGAGGAAATTATGAGGTATAAAGAAAAAGAATTGTTGATTTAGTGTTACTATGATTGTTAAATGGTTTGATGAGCTTCTTTGGATGCATCGTAAATGTCATATGTTAGAGGGATTACGCCTTACACGCGACGATCGTTATTGAATTTATTTAAAGTGTACCTGACTTTAAGAGGAACGTTGAAATGTATGATGATGGAGCATGCAAAATGCGCGTGCAACGTAAGAGTTTAAGTTTGTAGATGTCATAATATATGTTGCAAATATTATATATGTGAAAACGCCTGTCCGGGACCAATGATCTTAATGTATTAAAGTACCAGGGATATGTACACATATCGTATTTTTGAAGGAAAACGAGAAAATGATATATTCTTGAAGTTCAACAATTATTCTTCTTTTTTTTTTTTATAACGAAGTAATATTATGATGTGTAAAGTGTATTTAATACTACATAAAAATATAATTATTATGTAGGCTTATCAGTGCTATTCTGTAGTTATATAGTGCAATTCCTTTATGCGCTAAGGAGTCGTCAACCGAGAGTTAAACAGAAAGATTAAATAAATAAAAGAGAAATTATGAGAACGGTGGATTATATTTTCAAGAACCTGCCGTTTTTTTTTTATTCATTCCTCGTAATACATCATTTCTGCGTTATTGCACGAATTTCATTATTAACAAACGGAGAATATATGTTCGTTACGCTACCGAGTAAGTCATTTTTAAAAGATCATTTTATCGATTTTTGATTCCATATATATTTATTATTTGGCATTATACTCGAGTATAAAAGTTTCGTTAAATGAAGATACTAAGCCAGCTTAACGAATTAATAATGGTATCCATCATTACGTATCGTTACATTGCTACACCTATTATCGTTAAATTAAACCATTAATATCTCTGATTATTCTACGTACTCTAATAAAACTTAAAGTAAAACTTAAATGCAACAATAATAGTAACAACAAATAATTCAACTTTCATTTAAAAATTTGCAAACATTCACTGTTTAACTGCTGGATAGTACCTGTAACGACATTATCACATCCTTTAATTCCCTAAAAAAAAGCAATTCTTGTTCGAAGTCCTTCGTAAGGATGAGAAACCACGAATAGTGTCGATAATCGAGGCACAATAGATCCTCTGAGCTTCAAAAGGAGTCCATCCTTTAAACACTATGTTCCATTATCAACATTCTGTCATACTTTGGTCCAACACTTGGTCTGTTAACTTACCATCCAGTTTTAACACAAAAACAAACACACAAAACATAATATCCCACACTTCAAACATCGTGTCCTATTATACTTTGGTTTAACATATAACAGTGGAATGTACTGGCCTCCTCGACACAATATCCAGTTTAAAAAAAAAAATGGCGTCAGCGCAACACACAACGATCAGACACTAGACGCATGAAGTCTACGTCCAGATCTCTTGGTGGCTATGGTTATCGGGATAAGTCCACCCTTAGAACATCGCATTATACTTTACCAAACAGTAGAACAACGTCCAGTTTCAAAAATACGTGTCATTGACACGCACGCGAACGAAGAGCTCGGTGTCAGTCACCGGTGACCGTCATGGCACTGAACACGTTAACGGTCACACAATGGTAGGTGGTTGTAGAACAGCTGGCGCGTTTCTTAGTTTCATAGCTTCTGGACTTATGGCGCGCACCTGCTTGGTGATCTGGTCATAGTCGTACGTGACGGCCAGCCCACCCTCCGAGCTGCTCTTCCTGGTATAACTTTTGTCCTCGGACGAGTTCATGGTCTTTTGTCTGTCGGTGGTGGTCGTGTTCCCGTACAACGCGTCCGCCGCGATGCCGCCCTTTTCTGCTTCCCTGCGGTACCGTCGACTCTTGAACCTGAGCACCGAGTACACGGTAAAGAATATCAGAACCAAGAGGAACAGCAGACCCACGACAGCGCCTGCCACTATTACTCTCATTTCCGTTGGGTCTCGGATGAGCAGTTTAACGTTTGTCGAATCCCTTCCCTTCTCGCTCTCCACCAGCAGCGTGTATATCCGTGCGTCTTCCTTCTGCAGATCCTTGATCACCAGTTTCGCCCAATAGCAGTTCGTTATCATCTCGTTCTCCTTGATGTGCTCTAATGGCACAGCCTCGTACTTTGGATGAATGCTCTCACCTGGGTAGGAAATGCTTAATTACTGGTTGCTATAAATGGACAGTTCAGTGACAGATACTTGTAGCTATTAGGGCCTCATGGAGTAATAATTCATTCACTTTTGGTGATAAATAAATCTTTGGTAGTTTTAATGCTTTGGTAGACTAGTATTGCTTACATTGACCCTATCAATTAAACGATTCTTACCAGCCCTAATGTGAGAGCTTCCCCATTGCCAGGCAACTAGTTTGGGAGGTGGTCTTGAGCAGAACCGCGACTTTAGAATATGCTCAGATTCTCCAGTCCAACCCAGTGACTCGTAGAAACCCTTACCACCGGAAGAAGGTCTGACCTGTATCTCGGGTGGTCCTGTCACATGGAGTACGTAACGAGCCTCGCTTGGCATTTCCCTCCTCACCCCGTTGATCACGTTGAAAGCCACGCATCGGTATTCCCCCTCGTCGGACCACATGACGTTCTCCAAACGCAATCGTTTGCCGCCATCCTTGTTCTGGAGGCGATTCTCTATGGCTTCTGTCACGCCACCGCGAAGATGCATCCATTTGTACTGAGCTGGCGGGTTCGCCTCGAAGTTGACGCACTCGAAAGGCTCCAAACTCGAGCTTAACAGAGTCGTTTCCTCGAATTTCTGCGCTGTGTCGTTACTGGTACTGTCTTCCTTCAGGCTGGGACCATCTGATCAAGATGGAAACAGTTGTCCAAGTAGAATTCACATAGATGGATTGGAAATGTATCAGTTTCTGGTGGAGTTAGACTCCTGCATTTTGTGTTAACTTTCTTGCAATTTAAGGTTGAGTTTTACTACACGGGCAAAGTAAATTAATGTTACTAGAAAAGGGAATATATTACATATGTCTAACAGCCCAGAGCTGAGTACAAATTACTTAGCAGTAACAGATGTCGTTACATCCTCCCAGTTATTATTTCTGAGAAGTCTGCATCATGGAAAGAGTCACAGAAGCTTACTGCGTCCAAAGTTACAAACTTAGTTACCATAAATTGTATCTGAATTCTACCACAAATGGGAAGCTACAAGTCTCTAGCGACACAGAGCTGAATACAAATTACTGTACTTGTTAGTAACAGATGTTACCCCCAGTTATTATTTCTAAGAGGAACCTCAGTACATCCAAAGTTACAAATTTAGTTTCGCTACAACAAATTGTATCTGGAATACTGCAACAAAGGGAAAGTCCAGCTGGCCAGTATTAGACGTCCAACAATAGAGTACAAATTGATGTACTTATCAAAGACTACAGGTGGCATTACTTCCTCCCGTTGTTCTTCCTTAAAACTAGGTATCATGGTAAAAGTCGAACTACTTGCTACGAACATTGTACGTCCAGTCTGTAGTTAGCCGGGGCGCTTTCACCGATAACGTTGACCGCCTTGCAAGAATAGAGACCGGCGTCGTTTCTCTTGACCGGCTCGAATCTCAGCTCGGATCCCGTCTGCGTGGTGTTCTGCTGCGTTCTGTTTAGCATCAACGAAACGACGTTGCTCGTCACAGTGATGGGAGCTGAATCCTTGAACCACTTGATCGTTCCGCTGGGATTGGCGTCCGCGAAGCATTTCAGGCTCATAAAGCTCGCCGAATCCTCGAGGGCCGCCACCAGCAGCCGCGGTTTCGTCTCGAGCCGCGCCTCCGGTGAATCTAAAATTCGCGACGCCGTTAGAGAACTGACTGGACGCTCTTCTTGCTTCTTACTCGCGGCTCTATTATTTTACAGAAGACTGTTCTAAGCCCGTAATTGCGTATCGTAAAACCTGACGACGCTAATTGCGGGCTGGTTATCTAGACCACAAAGGCGGAATATTCGGAATATTCCAGTGGCTGAAGGCGGAACTTTCTCAAACGAAATTAACAAGAGGTATTCAAAAACACTTTGGGAATTATTTTTTTTAAATTCAAAATGGATTTGATATACATACAATGCACATCCAGTCGTGTCTCTGTGGAAGTGGGAACGATGCTGGATGGATGCATCGTGATACACCGAATTGGCAGACCATGTGTTTCCCTTTGTCCACGGACACGTAGAAGACTGTGGGCAGCCCACGTCTTTGGGCTGTCCACTTCTGTCGCGTTCGTCTGCTCCCTCAGAGGCTCCACCTCGTCTCCGCCTATGTACCTGAGTCGAAAGCAAAGGATTTAAATACCGTGCATGCAAAGAAGCCACAGAGTTACAGCCATCCTTCGTTTTCAAGTTCGGAAGTTATTCAAACCGAGTTTCGAAGCCCGAAGGTCTGTATAATTTCAAGAACGTTGGTCCGATAAAGTTCTAAATCACTTTCTCCCATCTTAAATTTGGGAGACATCAACGCCTGCGCAAGAAAGTACCCAGAAGTGATCTCGTTCTGCTCGAAAGCAAAAATATTCTTTGCAGAGTTCACGATAGCTGTAACAATGGGCACGGCCAGCCTCTGAATAAAACAAACGTAATTTCGCGTATGAATTTTGCACGGAAGATTTACTCGACTAACCGTTACACCCATGTTTCCGGAAAGCTGTTCAGCAACTTCCCACAAACGTCGATATTCAAGGTTTATATACCCTTTCTAGAGTGATTCACGGGGAGACTATGTTCCCGGCCAGTTTCTCCGCTTCCACGGCCGCAATCTGCATAATTATGCTTGGCACTGCATCTTCCGAGGAACGGGGGACGAAAAGAAGAAGAAGAAACGACGAACTGTTTAGAGACACCGTGCCTATTAAAGGCAGTAAAGCGGCCGATTGGACCCTTCCGCGCGTTTCGATGCTCGGCATTATTCTTGCAAATGCCTGGCGAAGTGTAAAATTAGGAACTGTTCGCGTCGCGTTTCATATTCTATGCGCCTCGCGCAGAAAAAAAAAAGAAAATCTCTCGCGGAATGTGAGTTGCGCCATGTTTCTTGCGAAACATCTCTTGTGCAGTCATCGATGTCACTACAGTTTCGGAGATATTTCATTCGAAGCGAACAAAAATTCTGGAAATAATTTCGCGGCTATGTTCGAATATTTATTTGCCACATTGGTGATCGTTTCCACGCGCCGGTGCATTAACTTTTTGTTTCTCGTGTCGTAATGTATAATTGAGGATCCAATTGGTAATAAAATACTCGGGCAACGACGCCGGTTGTATTTCGTTTCTATTGTTTTTGCGGCAACTTTCATTCGTAGGAATGTTGGCTGCACATTGTATTATTACGATTCATTGGCATTCGACGCCGTTTCGAAACCACTGACTAAAATTTCTGCGCGAATGGAAATTATTTAAGAACGATCGATTATTGAAAACGCTTCTGAAAATGTTTCTGAAACGGAACGGGTATTTTTTATGTCTCCGTGGGTTTTATCGTCTGTTCGAAACGTGAAAATGATGGTTCACAGAGGCCAGTCCAGGCAAGAACTCATAACACGGTGTTTATGCAGCGGAGAACTTCGCGAGCAGCGTCTTTTTCGTTTCATGGTCTAGCGGGCAGCCCAGCCACGCCTCATCTAAATTCTTCTAACATAAAACTAGCTCTGATCATCACCTTCGCATGAGCTGCGTTACAATTTTTACGAACACGTTACGACGTGTAAACATAGCTCAACGTAAAAAAAAAATCAAGATAATACAATCTTGATTCGAACCAATAACGTTGTTATATCACAAAATAACGTTTAGAAAGCACGGACAATTTAGGCGAAAGAGGAAATGGCGAAAATCTGGTAAACAGGTTTCGCTGCTAATTGGCCGTGAATCGTGTCCAAAATGAACTTTCATTTTTCGCAGCATCTCTTAAGTTCCCGCCCATTAACCTAATCGTCGTAATTTAGGAGAAATTTCCTTGCTCCACGAATTTTATTTTAACGAGTTCTAACAGATCCTAAGAACGTAAAGAGCCTCCATTGATCGATATTGCACAAGTTATTTGTAAATTGCTCAACTTATAGTGATTTAATACTGAATTCGAGAGACTCGTGCTGCTCCACGAACTTCCATGTTTTTAAAAATTTCCTTTAAATGGAGCAGCCATTCTTTTGCGATTTAATTCACCGTTTGAAAACAATGCGCAGTCGCATTAGTCAGGGCACATTATTTTACCCTTTCGGGAGGCTAATTGACACGGCTTACCACTTTATGAGCGCCGGTGGATTTCCATATCTTGATACGCAGGAAATGGTGACTTCCTGACCCTCCCTTAAAGTTAGGGCAGTGGTTAAAATGGTTCCCCCGTACTCCAGCCGCGGCTTCCGGGGTTTCACTGAAATCCGTAACGCAACAGGAGATCCAACCATTAGATATACGTACTAAACACTCGCAACAATATACGCTTTACATAAAATATACGATTTACTTAACCCGATGATTCATCGTTGCGCGAACAGGACGTCGTGTTTTTGTTTTCTTTCAAAACGTATTTGGAGATTTATAATAATCGGAGTACCTCCGCGAGATAAGAACCAAACGATACTAAAATGGCGAGAAAATTAGAACGGAACGAGGTGTTTCGCGGTGAATTGCGCCACGTCGCCGCTGCGTTTAGGCGAATTTCAAGCAACCCCCGCGCCTAAGGACTGCATTGTTCCGTTGAAGTGGCATCGGGATCTGATTGTGCGCGTGACTCGAGGTGAATCGCCGAGGAAAGTGATTTTTTCCGCGGTGATGTAAAAACTCAACGTTCCGTTAAAGCTAAGTACCGTATTTAACGCATTAATGTCTCGCGAAACGTTATGGAGAACTGTTACGCGAGCACCGCGTATCCCCTAATTGCGAATTTAAAGCTTGCATCGATGCATTACGTGCATTCGAACTTAATAACGCTGCTGGGTAATCGTTGAAAATTGATTCGAAACCGCTTTGAAATATAGCCTCGTTTAGATTTCACGTTGGTTGGCTCCGTTCTCAAAGCGAGCTAAACAGTTGCGTGAATATGCATAACAGGCTGTTATTGGAGCAATTGTTATTTAAATCGTACGAGTTTTCTGATTTATTACAGAAAGTAAAGGTATTCCTCGAAATTGGATCCGAAAGAAGCCTCGTTTCCAATTCTCCGAAAATATTTAGGATCTTCGTAAGAAATCTGGCAATGTGTTTTTATTTTTTTGGGGGGGTCGTTCCGAGGCGGTCAGATCACACGCAGATGCACAGGCATCGAATATCCATCTCAAGTGTCCAGAGAAAAAATACTTCTCCTCGCGCAGGTCCTGGAAACCTTTTAGTCAGCTATTCCGTACCGCGTAGTGACAAGTTTTTATGATACATCTGGGAAATATCTCTTCTGTAACCCTAACGACCAGAGAAAATATACTTGAGCCTATTCCACTTCGAGAATGAGTTTATTAATTCCATATAAAAAAGATCTAGAATATTTTCTATCGATTACATTAAATTTGAATAAGAAATTTTACGGATAGTTTCTATTTTCCTGCAATTGTAATTACGAGAATTGCAACCACCTGGTGGCGACTAGTCGAAACGCCGTCACGCGATATTACTAACCCACTTCGAAAAATAAAACCCATTTAACTCCCCAACATTCTAACGCATCTGAATACTCTTGGAACATTAACATTATTTTCAATGGCACTAATTACTTAAACAAAACAATATCTACATAAATATATTTACTAAAATGTTGACTCTGGTGCACAAATCTTTTATAACGAGAGAAGCTCGAACAAAAGGTATGGAAAATTGGAGAATAGAATCAAAACGACATATTTTTCTCGATTAGAATATTGACCTTATAAAAAAATAATTTCACCTCTGACCAGTAGACGCGAGGGCAAGGAGGTGAGGGCATCCTGTCGCGTGAAATCGCCAGAAGTGACTTGACACTCCCAGTGGCCGTCGTCGAAGTCGAGGGAGGCCCTTCTGATAAGCAGGGTGCAATCGCTGCCCCGTCCGCTGGCCCACTCGTATTTGTCCGGATGCATGCCCACCGGCTTCCGGTCTTTCTGCCAGATGCACTGGCCACGCTTGTCCTGCACCCTGCACCGTAACTGCACGTCATCGCCGGATGAGACTTCCTGGTACAACGCCGGAGTTTCAGCGAACCTTTGCTCGCCAATAATCGCAGTCACCATCGCCAGCAGGGCCAGGATGGCTCGAAGATGAACGAACTTCATTTTCTCAGTTCCTTACTCTCTTTCAAAGAACAATCTTATTCGTTGAATCTTCTATTTAGGTACTTCAGCGCATTATGAAAGATCGTAGCAATTTGGCGCCAAAATAACGCTCGTTATAAACTACAGAATTTCTACTAACTTTATTATTGCAATCATTTCTAATAAAAAGAACTTGAATTCAAAATACTTTCACTGTAAACATTATGCACCTTCGATCTGACGTTTACGTTCGATACACTTTCGGAAGATTCGTCGCGCAAAAATCGTTTCGTTGAATTTATGGTAATGATTATACGTTAGGTTATCGTTCGATGCGTACTGTGTCATAATTGTCGCAGTCACTGTGATCGTCGGCAGTCAACATCGCGCAAAAGAACACCGGGAATCTTCTCGTTGGAGAACATAAGACGAAGTGAGCCGTTGTGAAATTCGAACGAAACTCCGCGACGGGGAAACGCCCGCAGCGCCGTCGGCGGCGGTTCGTCGAACCTCATTCGCATCCCCTACGAACTTTAAACCTTCGTGTTCTTCCCCCCCGCGAAAGACTTCGAAGCGTAATTTGTCAAACGCGAAACTGTCGAGTGGCAGTGATTATCGTGAGGGATCGGCTCTTTAAAAGTTTCGTAGACGCGATATGCTCGTTCGGAGTCATTAACTCGGAGACGTAAACACTTCACGCAACACTAGTCGTTCTATTTTCACTTGCATTTTACGTTCCACTTCCGTGACTCGGGGGGTTCCACCGTTCGAACCGAATAAATTTGATTTCGACGGAAATGTACCGATAAAATCGTAATCCTTATCCCGGGCTCGAATAGGAGCGAACGGATCGCTGACAAAGGGTGCTAGGAGACTGAGAGGAAAGAAAACAGACGGTCGAGGTAAACGAAGTATCTAGGACGTCGGAGTACAATACTGAATGCACGTAGTGGAACTGAGCCGGAGTTAAAGCCAGAACGTTCACCGGAGTGGAAGCGGAAGACGGGCCCCGAACGCGGGCCCACGCGTGCGTATCCAACCCTGTCTCCTCTGCTGCTATCCTTATTATTCGAGCGTGTTATCATTATGCCATGCTACGGCGAGCTTAGCCGCCCATTTGCTCCATATACTTTTTATTTCGCGTTTAGTCACCGGGAAAAACCACCACCGCGCCTACTTCGGGCCCAACCACCCTTCCTCTACTCCGACCACCCCCTTTTTCATTCGTCCACGCGAGCTCGAAGAGAAAGCAGCTACCTATTAGGTCATTAGACAAACGCATTCGACATCAAACCGCCGACAGATGCTACCGATAAGCTTTCGAGTGAAAAACACGCACTCTCCTTGACAATTTATGGCAGCCATATGCGTGCTTTAACGCTCATTTTCAGTCGTCTACGTTCCGATTACTATACCAAAAGTATATTTAATCATTGTGATCTTGGAACTGAGTTGTGATAATAATGATGAAACATTCCTTAATGGGAGGTGCGGAGTGAAAGTAGTTAAAATGTAGTAAAACGCTAGTCCATACATCATGATTCTTTACCGACTGATCGAAGTAGAGAGCGTTACCTACAGAGACACGCGCGCCATTTTCTAATCAGTAGTATCGTGGATTAGTCAGGTGGAATTGTATTATCTCAAATCGTCACTTACGAAGCAATTAGTAAACGCATTCTTAAACAATCTACGAATCATCGTTTCATCGAAGCGCGAGTTAACGACTTACCGAATGAGTCATTAATAGGTTCATTTACTCTTCTATCTAAGAATGTGAAACAAGGTATTAAGTAGACCTTACACCTAATGTATTTTTTACGCGATTAAGAAATAAATTTTCAAATAATCTTGGAATTTCTATGTGATCTACACTAAAATACGCGTAGTTTGGTTTTTGAAACTTTAAAATCGTCCAATCCGTTAAGAAGTTATGACGTTTTAAAGATTCGCATGAAATTTCGGGAAACCACTTCAGGCCTCAGATTATATTTTCGATAAAGAATTTTTTTCTCAAAAGTGGGTAGGAATTCGGGGGTATGTCTAATCACTAAAAATGATTGCACTTGACCCCTGCGACCAAAAATAATTTTTTTAGAACGATTGAAAAGTTTTTAATTTTATCGACAAACTTCATACTTTCTCGAATTTTTTTCTCAAAAGTGGGTAGGAATTCGTGAGTATGTCTAATCACCAAAAATGATTGTACTTGATCCCTGCGACCAAAAATAATTTTTTTAGAACGATTGAAAATGTTTTAATTTTGTCGAAAAATTTCACACTTTCTCGAATTTTTTTCTCGAAAATAAGTAAGAATTCGAGGGTATGTCTAATCACCAAAAATGATTGTAATTTACCCCTGCGACCAAAAATAATTTTTTTAGAGCGATTTGAAATTTTTTAATTTCGCCGATAAATGTCTGCACTCACCCCCTGTTATTTTTCATAAATATCGTATTCATGAGCTCTACTTCATAAATAAATTTCAATGGAATACATTCACTATTTGCAGTTGACCATCAGTGAGGCTAGTAATACTGAAATAATACATTTCATCCTACTAATATTCTCAACAACAGAAGGAAACTGACTTATTCGTATGAATAATTTATTTCCCAGGGGCCTTGCGTTGATTCGCGGTAAAAGGGACGTTCGAATTACGTATTATTATTTCCCATAAACGAAGCGTCAACTATCATTAGTATCTAGTCAAGGTCGTTTCGTATGCCTGAGAAATAGTTTTGCGATGGAATGGAGTATTTCCACTGTGAGAACATTTTACGCCACTTCCATTTTCGTGCACTGGGTAAAATAAAGTAATAGAGCGTTGATTCTCTCAACCATTTATTTTTCACATTTTTTTCTCCGTATTACTAGAATGTTAAACAGAAACGTTTGTTCCCTAGTCGTATAAGATTTTCAGCACGGAAAAACGATTCGGAAACGTCGCGAGTAACGAGTGCCGTGGCACTTGTAAAAAAGAGAAGGAATATGATCTTTCGCCGAGGAAGAATCGTGATCGCGTCGCCGAAAATGATTTACTCTTTTTTTCAGTCTAGTACAAAATTATTTTTACGTTCGTTCCTCAACAAATGTGCAGTGCAAAGAACAACGTGCGCATTACTTAGTCTCCGATCGACACTTTACAACGACGTGTGTATTTCTTCCTGTCAGCCAAGAATACGACGGCTTCTTTGCCAATCTAACAATAAAGGAACAATTTCTCGATGGAAAACTTACAAACACTATTTGTAACTCGTAGACACTGTACTTTACGAACCAATTGAATTACACAAGGTCTCGAAACATGTTCTACAACTAACGTAACCTTAAAACTGCATAAAACGTATGTATGCTCGTTGATTTGATTTATTAACATAATCCCGTAGAAAAATATAATTGGTGACACTTTAGTGAGTCTTCGTTGACTGTTCAAGCTGTGAATTTCCATATCTTTTAAACAATAAATTTAACATTATCCACCGTAAGAACAAAGTATTTATTTCTATGAGACCCTTGCCAGAGGGACTCATGTGCCATGGGGTTATGTTAAACATAACCTAGACTGAAGGGCCTAATTACTGTCACTCAGCTATTTTATTTGAAGTACCCAAATAGATCCTAAAATGTTATGAAACAGACGAAGACGAGTTATCAATTTTTCACAATTTCTATATAAAATACTGTATACCGATGAAAATTTCCCTTCGAGAACATTTTCCCGCGAAGGAGATAAATCGTTTCGTGCTTAACCCTCTGTCGAGAGATTTCACAGGGCTTCTGTCATTCGTTCCCTTCCTTCAACAAAGCGTTACACACTAAATATGTTTGCATTCTCTGATCGCGTTTACATCCCGTTTCCGCCCACCTATCGTCTGAGTAAAGAAAAATAATTTGCAAACGGTTAAGACAAGTTGGACGCTCCTCGTGTTTGAAAAATGTCGGACAGAAGGAGCGTGACAATTTACAGACTATAAAAATAATGTGTCTACCGTCGTTCCGGAGGTCTTCCTTTTTTTTTCATCTTCTTTTTACAGAAGTTTACAGAGTTCGTTTCTTGTGCCCGTCACGTGTCTATAATGTTTCCTACTTGTGTACTACGTTATTCATGAGTAAGCAACGATAACGAGTCTAATACTGTTCGCTGAAAACGTTTTACAACGAGTCCGCCCTGCCGCGTTATATGTACGCGCGATTATTCATACATTATTCGATCGGTTATTCGTTATTCGTTATTCGTTATTCGTTACGCAGATTTCTTAAACGTGTGTATATTCGGTATGTGCGGCCAATTTTTTTCGTAAACATCAAAACATTCGACCATTTTGTACTCGACAAGTCTATCCAGCAATTCTCAAACTTCGCCCACAAATTATTAGTTTTTGGGATAATTTGAAAATACATGTTAAGTAAACGTTTAGGAAAAGGTGACCGTATGTACCATGATAGTTTCGTTAAGAAAAATATAGATGACTTTAAAACGAAAGTTTGTCTATTGTTATATGTGGACGGTTTGAGAAACACCGGACTAAATTGTGGGTTTCGAAACCAGGTGTTCGTACAGCTTTTAATTGGACGATAATTTCGAATGTATTGATAGTTTACGTACACATGTATCTTTTACGGACGAACATTTTTTATTCCGCTTCGATCGGTTCACAAAGTTTACCGCACATGACCGTGTTTAAGCCATGATTATTTATTTCTGAAATATAAATGTTACTTGCAAAATTGTTTATTGCACGTATTGTCCGTTGAAATAACATTAAAAAATTTGTTCTTTTCCTTCAGTACCATGATTCGTTTAGTACTGCAATTGTTTTCCTCTATACACACCGACACAGTAAGAAATTGGGGTTCCTTTCATAGTAACAGTTCTTTGAGTTTACTCCACAAATGTTTTCGATTATAGACAGCTTCAAAACACTTTTTATCACAGATAATAAACGTTTATTTGGTGTAATGAATTGAAATGCTTTTAACAACAGCGTACCGATTAATAAAAATTTGTCGTAATGTCAAAGGAAAAAAAAGAACGATTCCAATGTTCCTGATCGCAGAAATAAAAATGTAATGTCAAAGAAACATAGGCAACAAAGTAAACAAATTTTCCTTTTTTTCGAGCACACGCAACGTAAATTGCAAACCGTTATCAATACTATGTATAATATTTATCACGTGTTCCTTTCTCAAACAAAGATCATAAATTATTGCTTAAATGCAGTACTCCGTTTATCATTCTATTTTGATGAAATTAGGGAACGTTTCACTTACAATTAGAATGTAATAGAATAGAAATACAACTTTTTAATAGTATCAAAAGAACTTTCATCTACATTATCAATATAAAGCTTTTTACTGTTAAATATATGTTTTGTAAACAGTGTTTTGAACATGACGTATGTTGGAATATATATACAAAACTATATGTACATTCTTCATATTATACACATCATACTAATTTATCATCATTTATATCTTTGCTAGATTAAGTGCGAGCATCGGTCCACCGATGAAATAAATAAGAATGTGGCGTCGTTTCCCATGCTCGCCGCCAGGGGGGCCCAAGCGCTTGTGAGAGCGCGATCCCTCTGGTGGCGAGCACGGGAGGCGACGCCACAAGAACAGTGCAGGATCGATTTTGCAATTTACACGTCAAAAAGGAAGTAACGAATACAACTTATAACATTTGGGACATTATAAAAAAATAAAATAAAAAAATAAAGTAATTAATATCAAATTGGCGAAGTTCCATCTTTCAGACAGATAACAAAGATATAATTGACGCGTCCGTATTTATACATGTCGATAATCTGTACATGCACACCACCATCGTATATGTGGATAATATTTTACAGTACGATGTACATATATATCCGATAAAAGATATCATTTGTTTTTTTTTTTTTACATTCTATTCTACAAACTGACTCTACATAATGTTTTAGAACTTCCAAATATAATTCCGTACTTCCAAAAAATGAAAAGTAGAATGGAGATGGCACCGACCATACCTATGGCGTTTCCATGAAACGCCCGTTTCGAGAAGACGTTTAACGTGATCGGCGCTTTGTTTCGCTGCTCCATTTTCCAAAAGCACGCGGTTAGCTCTATCGATTCTGAATGCATCTGATATAATTCTGGATGGAATGCTTTCGTTAGTCTTATAATTAGTCGAACTCCCGCTTCTGAAAGAACCGCAAGGCAAGATATTGCAGGAATACGAACGCACCGCTGACACGCAGTATCCAAAAACGCTTTAGAACCACGAGAACCGATAGCAATGAGATACATTAATACTGGACGTCAGATTGTTAATACTTTTCCTACGCGTTGTTACGCAATACTGTAAAACACGTTCACGAAGAAATTAGCACGCCCGGTGTGCTCGTTACGATTTAATGGTTACGAATATTAAAAGGAAACGAAAACTAGAAAGTTAAATTGACAGGCTTAGACGTTACAGAGATCAAATTAGTAGGGTGAGATTCGTTTCGTTATAAACCAGAGTTAGGCATCAATCGACTAATTTTCATTAAACTATTAATCGATTATGAAAATTTAGTTGTCAAAGGTAATCGCGATTACTGTTAATAGACTGAATGGATTGAAATTAATCGCTATTCGCCCCGCCATTGGTTCCATCAATGATTAATCTTTGATTGCTAATAACGTAGATTACACACGATTGGAAATAGTTCATTTTTATTATAGATTCGATAGAAGCTATGGAAATTATTATTTATTAACTGTAGTTCTGCAGTTAAGGAGTCAAATGAGAAAGAAAATGTCACTGGTTCAGCGTGCCAGTGAACGTGTCAAGTAGCTAACACCTATGTTATTTGTCGTCGTGAATTAATCATTAATTGGATAGACGATGAACAGCGAATAACGATTACGTTAATTATCGATTCATTTGTCAATCGTGTACGAGAACCAACGATTGATCATTTTAATCGCAACGGTGAATCGTTACTTTGATTAAAATCTGCCCAACACTGTTATAAACACAGTACGTTAATCCGGTGCTCCGTCGACGTGGAAATCTCACAAAGCTGTGCTCTCGATCGGCGAGGTTGCACGGTTAGGTGTGCAACACCGTTCAGGAGTATGGCACAGGTCCGGCGTATGCCTACCGTCCCTTAATTGAACGAAGTCCAAGTCCGCGAAAAAGTCACTCTTCATGGTACCCACCGCGCTATCAGAACCAAAGCTGTCCTGCCTGCATAAATCGTTTTTGTAACATCCACTGTATTCGGTCAACGAGTTAGGCAACTTGTTATCGTACATTGACTTCGTGTCGATTACAGGCTTCTGGGTATCGTTCGACTCCAGTTTCGTGCAATCTTGGATGGACGCTGTGCAGTCTTTTTTGTTATCGGCGCGAGTGTCATTTTGCGTATTGTAAATGAGGAGATCGTCGTTTTTGGAGAGGCTCGAGTTCGAATAGAGGCTGTCCGCGTAACAGAGTCCAGTATTTTTTCGACAGCTATTGCCTCTGCGGAGATCCTCGTTCCTCAACGTGTTGTAAGGCGAATAGTCTTTGTACAGTTTGTCCTTGTGTTTCGCTATGCAGTCTAATACTGTGAGACTCCCCTGCCTGGATAAAATACTACCAATGTCCGAGACGTTGCTACCCTGTCTCGATACCCTGTCGTTCGTACGATCACCTTCGTCGATTTCCCCTGAGCTTACAGTTACTTTTGATTGCAACGAAGTACCAGCTTCGGATTGACTGTTTTTCTGCGCGGAAAATGCATTCTTTGGCATCTCTTTTGTGGGAGAAATCTTTGTCCTTCTCAAGTAAGAACCCGTCGAAGTCTTCGGGGCGTCGCCGCTCCCCTTCTTCGTCTCGACGTCGTTCTGACCGTCCATCTTGTTCTCCTTCTCGGCGACGTTCATGGATTTGCCGATTTGCCTCAAATACGAGCCAACAGAGTTCCCGTCCGACATTTTGAACTTGCTCTCCAACTTGGTCCTCGAGTGATCGTTGGACTTCTCCGTCGACTTGGAATTCAAACTGTTATTCACCTTGTACGAGCACTTGTTATCGTTAATATATTCCGAGGTGTCCGATAAAGAGCACGGACTCGCGCTGCCCACGTATCTGATTTTTTCGATGGGTATTCGTTTCAGGTTACATTCCGTTTGATCGTTTTGCCTGACGCAAGATTCCTGTTTGTCGTTCGCGAGGCGCGGCGATGATTCGTTCGATTTCACTGTTTGCCTCGCGAAACACCCGGTGTACGTTCCTTCCGGCGAAATAACGATATCCGGTTTCTCGATCGTAACTTCTTTGGACCTCGAGTTCTGTCTCGAGTATCGGCCCGCGTTCCCGGGCGATTCGTTCGTTTTGCTGTTCTGTCTCGTATACCTTCCCCGAGAACCGATCACGTCGGGCACCTGAAGCGTGTTGTTGTTCTGCACGGGATCCTCGCGTTCCAACGTGCTGTCCTGGCAACCGCTGCACCTCTTCTTCTCTTGATGCACCTGGCCCTCTTTGATAGGCTTCAGTTGGGGTACGAGAGTGTCCGGGGTCGTGGATTCGCTGGTACTCGTACTGGGGCCGGTATAGTTTCTGATGTCGAACTCCAAATCCAACGGCAGTTCGACGCCTACGGATAAATGCAACGCCAATCCCTCCAGCCAAACCTGCATCAGTTCGAAGGGCGGTCTTTTGTCGGGGTTAAGGTCGCAACAGAGAAAAGCGACCCTGTAGAACATTTCCGGGCAATTGGCACAAAATTTCTCTTTGAAGACATTCTGGTTCAGACCAAAGTCCGACGACCTGGGCAGGTAATCCGGATCGGCTTGAACGCGTCCTATGATCTCGCAAACGACGATACCGAAGCTGAATATATCCACCTTCTCGTCGTACTTGTTACCCTTCATCATCTCGGGGGCCATCCAGTACGGGTTCCCGACGACGGTGTACCGCTTCTTCCGTTCCTTCTTCGACGTTTTGGTCTCGCCGTCGGAATGTTTGCTGTATTTACGATTGTCCGGCGAATTGCCGTTCTGTATTATCCTGGCTAAACCGAAATCGGCCACGACCACGGTCTTGTCCTCCCTTACGAGACAGTTGTGCGAGTTTAAGTCGCGGTGAATGATATTCATGGAATGTAGATAAGCCATACCAGCGGCAATATCCTTCGCGAACGACGTTCGCTGTTCCCATGGTAACGTTTCGTTCGTATCGTGTAGCAGAGCTCTCAGCGTTCCGCCTGATATGTATTCCGTGACCAAATGGAGCTTTTTGTCCTTATAGAGTACGCCGATGAATCGGAGAACATTGTTATGATGTAACGAACGTAACACGGCGACCTGTTAAGTACGTGCAGAACAAAATAATGGGGTAACGATTACAAACGCACGCATAACGAAAGTTTTTGCGCGCGATACGACTCCGATAAATCGATCGATCGATTCTATGACTACTCACCTCCTTCAAAAAGTTTTTCTGAGCTTCCTCGTCCACTCTGTACAATTCTTTCAGCACCATAACTTCATTGGTATCCCTGTGCGTGACTTTGAACACTTGTCCGAAGAATCCTGTACCCAGGAGTTCACCTTTCACTAGGTCACTGGCACGGAATATCCTTTGATTCTTTGGCTCCACTCGAAACGATCTAGTTCTGCTCAGGTCGCACGTAGGATTCGTCGGGGAAGATCTGCGAACAATGCATCGCGATACAGCTGTGCATCTCATTGAACTTGGACCGTGATTATTAGGGAATTAGTTTGCAACCGATCCATACCCGTCGAGCAGTCGCGACATGGAGCTGCTGCGCTCCTTGTGCATAGGATCCCTCGTTCTACGCAATTGTCGGCTTCGCGTTCCGCTAATATACCCTTCATCGCGACGTTTGAACAGCCGTTCCTTGTTTTCCGGGCTCGTTCTCGGGCTCCCAATCGACGTCAACATCGTCGCAGATGGCGAGGAATACGTTGGTCGTCGCGACACTGCGTCCGGATCATGCTCGATGGTCAGCTGAAAGATCGATTGCATTTGTTTCTGTATTCGTTCCAATTGCCATACGTTCAACAAAAATTACTCCATAGAGCGGATAATTACCTGCAGAACTGTATCCGAATATTGTATAAGATTTTCAATGTTTTCTATAGGCTGATCCTTGACCGGTGTGCCGTTCACTTCAAGTATTCGGTCGCCGATGTGTAAAGATATAAGATCACTGGACATGTTCAGTCTGTAACACGTTTCGTGTGACATTTCGATCGTTCGTAAATGGTTTTCTTACAAGAAGTACATGCAAAATTGTCCGTGCATTTAATTTTAATCGGTGTACAACGTATGTATTAAATATTACATGTACGATAGTGTCGCGGTAAGAAAAAAAAAAGGAGTAAGAACCGAAACAGTGAAGTTGATGTTACACGTTCATTTGCAACCTTGCACATGTGCATAAGATACGAGGCATAACACGTACAAAGTACAATATGTAAGACCATTACTCAATAAACACGAATACAAATAATAGTTGAAATTACTTGAAAGCTGGTTGCATCGTAAACACTATAAAACAACGAAGGAGAATATATGATACATAATACATAAAAGTAGTTTTTAAAGTAATATGAAATATTATATTATTAAATATATGGATTGCCGCATCGTCCTATGTTACATGCTTAAAAAACTATACAGCACATATAATTAAATGGAATAAATAATATTACACACGAGAAACCTATTTTGCACAAGATACGTATTTTGCGTGCAAGTTAAATATAGCAAATACTAGGCACACACATCTAATTCACAGAAATGCAATGTCTAGTGCATATTATTTATTTGTTATGCTGTACCTATGATTAGAGAAGTGGCAGCATAGCCTAAACAGAACCTCCATCACAGAGGCCAGCAGCTTACTGATCTTTCCACGAACATTTCTCATTAACCTGCATTTTAGTTTAAAGTTATTAGAGGCTGCGCATCTATGCTGGTTCTTAAATAACCAGAGTTAATTATTCATGCACGGTTAAATATTTTAGAAAACCTTTATTAATTATAATTTGGTGATGTACAAAAGTATCGTGATCTTTCCGCGTCCGTTTCAAAACTCATCGATCGTTTATATTATCGTACGTGTTATATCTTTTTCTTTTTTTTTTCGACAACGGTAATTTTGCTCTCCAGAAACTTGTCCGACTCGTATAAAAAGTGATTCGTATAAAAAAGAACATTGCAAACTTGCAAAAGCAAGCGTATCGTTTTAATAAACTTTGACAAACAAGACTAGATGTAAAAAGAGAAAGTATAGTACAAGAACGTATAAATATATTGTGTATATTTTGTATACGTACTCGGATATACGGAGCAAAGCACCACAATTTCGAGGACTAGGAGTCGAGTCTAATGTCAGTTTGATTCCCCGTTGTTTCTCGGAATCGGAAGTGTTCGGGGGTATTTCCACCAATCTGATGCTGTGCGGCTTTCGGGCGAACGGATAATTTGCTGTCCTGTTGATCGGCTGCATCTGCCTTTTGTAACAACATCCGCAATAGAGTTTAGACCTCTCGACTAGAGCATAGCTTTCTCCTTCGCCGATAAACGCTCCGCAAGAGTTGCAGGCAAAACATTCTGGGTGAAATTTGTGATCGCCTGCCAGCATAACAGGGCCCGTGATGATTTGGCCGCAACCTTGACAGGCTTCCCCGTAAGCAGCCCAGTAATCATCCTTACAAAATAGTAAGCCATCTTTCTCAAAGTACCACGAGGAGAGACCGATATCGCACGCTGAACACCTGAAAAATACAGTTCCATTGGTATTGATGGTTTATAATGACAAGGAACAAAAAAAGCTGTTGGGATCAGATCTGATTAATCCTACTTCCGAGGCAGGTTTTTCCCCCAAGATAATCATGTTATGCACATGACAAAAATTGCCATTAACTCTGCCAAGGATTGTTTTCAATTGAAGTAACTAAGGACAAATATGCAAGAAAAGAGTCTGAACTAGCCAACAAAAAATTGTGAATGAATTGGGATCACATCCAACTAAAGCTTTGAACTGATTTGTTGTTCCAGGATTCTTACCGAAAACAATCTAGATGCCATTCTTGGTTTAGTGCCTGTATAAACTCATCCTCGTCGATGACATTGAGGCAGCCTGCACACGTTATTGTCCCTCCACTTTCCCCACTTCTTTGCTCTAGCGTGTAGAAAAGAGAAAACAGAGTTAGACTTTGACACCACGGCTATGGATTATTTTGAAAAAAAAAATTCAAAAACCGAATTTCATATACTGCAGATTTCGCGGTTGGTTCGTCCTCTACGGTATTTGTACATTTTTTTTTCTCCAACACGCTCTGTTTTGTGTACTTACGTACACATACGCGGCGCACACGGACGTGCTTTTTTGCACAGGTATACGCGGAACGTTAAACGCTTAACTCAGCGTTACATTTCGTATATCACGAGCTCGTCGCGACTGTGAAAATAAACACGACGCGGTCGCATGGAAAACAGAGCGCGTCAGGGACGTGCAGTAGGAAGGAAACGTGATTCACGGTTGACATTAGGTAAGCGTTTGGGGAAAGCAGCGATCAACCAGCTGACGATAGATCGGACAGTTACGAGGCGATCGACGGCTTGTCAATCGAAGAAACACGTTGCTGCGATCACGGAAATGTATACGAAAATATTGTAACCTCGCAGGCGGGCGGTCGGAAAAATAGAAACGAAAGGAACGCGCAAATAAAGTCTCACGAAGAGCGTGGGCCAGACGACTTGGATGGCAGGACGCCCACGCGATCCGCGGAGCGTCAACGCGTACACGCGAAATCTACGATCAATCGTCCTACCGTGCACGACATTCGTAACAATACACGTTCTGCACCACGAATACCGTTCACTCGACTGTAAATAACGTTCAACATTGTCGAAAAAGACGTACCCTTTGACGAAACTTCATCCATCACAGCATCTAGGCTGACACACTCCCACTCCGCGACTCGGCCACTGAATATACAGAGCAGACAGATTCGGGGAATCTATTGTCAACGCGCCGCGGTACGCGCAACGGCGGGATATTTGAATTCGATTCAAACCGAGTCTGAAAAAGACTGGCAAACCGCAGACCGTTCGTACGATACGGACTTTTTATCTAATTTGTTTTGAAACTATTAATCGTTTGAAAGATGCAAATATTATTGTTGTACTATTCATCTAAGTTATTGCATAATAAGAAACGAATTATTCATCAAGAGGTAGTTATTTATTTTCAGAATACTTGGTCTTCGTTTTAAATCAGTATATCACGAATACAATTTATACTTAGTACTTTTCGAATCTTTTGTTAATGAAAATATTACAATAGTTCAATCGATGCATAAACAAAGCGTATACATATTATATGGTAGATACTATACAAGTTACGGGCTGTTAAAGGTAGATATGTTTATTAAAAATTGTGCAAAGTTGATAATTAATTCGTCGCGATGCTTCAGCGTCGAGATATAATTGTCTATTATTAGAGTTAACAATAATCGTTATATTTGTAGGATAAAACTGACAAATACTAACTTGAGGTAAGATATGTATAAATCATTTAACGTAATTAGAAATATACGGTATCATAAACTATCATATGCTCTAATATTATATATAACAATTAAACGATCAATCGTATACTTATAGTATAAATATACATCCGTTCCACATTTGTTAATACAGTTAATCCCGATAACCCGGTTTACTGTACTATAAAAATTATTTTTTTAAATTGTTCTGATAAATGTTACCAATTACCAATAAACCTAAAACATTTTTTAATTAATTCAAATGTTGTTCCCGACTAATGGTTTAATTTGTACCGAACCAACGAGATTCCACCGTATCATCAAAGCCGATCAAAGGTCGTTAGGAAACAAAATGTCACCGAGGTATTTCTGAAATTCGTGTGACGCGCCTAATCGATTGCACGCTTTCCCGGCTGACCTTTTCGAGGTTATTTACAAATCTGGGTATCGTCCCCGATCGATCTTATCTGGTCGCATCGATTATTTGGACTCGAGGGCCACAAATAATGGACGGACGGTTGCTTGTACTTCTGCGAGTGAGCCTGCCTAAAGCAAGCTCACGCCTGAGCAGTTTAAATCACAGTAGAGATTGTGCAGGGTCGTTGCCATTGATTCTTCGTATTATAGTTATCAAATTATCATCCATACGCCGTTGAAAATAATTATCAGACCAAAATTGCCGAATAATTCAGAAAAATATACCAAATATTAGGAATGAAAATTAATTCGTGGTAAGATATGTACGTCTCCATAAGCATAACAGACTGCATAAATGGCAACTGGTCTTCCAATTACTTTTAACAGCATTTGAATTACTACTGGACTAATCTAATCTGCATAAAATTCAAAGACTTGTTTGAATATACCCATTCAAAGGTCAAAGCTATCAAAGAGAATAGAAAATCGTTAACCTTGAGGAATTCATTGGTACTTCGTTTATCAAGTTGATGCAAAAGTGATCCCAAAAGTAAAATAAAATGTTTACTATCGACAATGACGAGTTGATAAACTTTGGTGTTGCTTAATTTCGCGAATTAGTTTCGAGCTCATTTGAATTTTCGTCTCGCGTATGTCCAATCGCTTCTGCACCAACTTAATAAAATATCTTAATCTAAGTAAGATCGCGGCCATGCTGCGCGCCATTATGCAATTGCATGTCCTTTCGCGCGACAGCAAAGACAACGAATGATATGCAAGAAACGCGAACCTCGTTACAATTAAACCTTCTTTCGCCACGCTCAAACAATAATTGCTCAACAATTGCTTTACGTTCGAATTTTCAATTCCATAAGTCGAAAAGTGGATCGTTTTTAAACGCTACCCTTGTTTTTTCTATTAAAAAAATTTCTCGTAGCATTTGTGCCTCCGATCAATACAGTTTACTTTGCGTAATTTCAGAAGGTTAATCGTCTAATGCTAATACTTTTAAAGAGTAATAATGAGCAGAATGCAATTGTAAAATCGTTTCACTGATTTGCACTCGGTGGAATTCATAGAAATCGATGATACATTAACTTCTTTGGCGCTAGCAATAAGATTCGAAGGCTCAGCGCATCCATGCACTGGTCGATCACCTTGTAAACGATTCGTTCGGCACCCAAAGGGCAGAAGAAGCTGCATTTCCCAAATTTCAGAGTTTACTTGTAGCTTTCGAGGGCCAGAAAACAAAGGGTCGCGAACCTATGCAACGCGTTGGCCTCGTCGGATGCATTTGTTACACCGCAAATGCAAGGACGACAGGTGACGCGCCACAAATGTGGCCTTTATTACATTTACATAGCCGTTTCTCGGTTTCAGGCTCCCCGGTTCCGACCATTAGTTTCTTTTGTTGCCCTCAAATTCGTATACCGGATGGTCCAAGGGCAGAAATAAAAGCGCTCGAGTGCAGTTGGGAGTTTTGCTCGACCCCGATCGCTCTTTCCGCGTAAATCTCTCAATATCCAGGCGATTGTTTCATTCACTCGGTCCAAGAAACGGCGGCAAATGTAAACGTTTCATTTTAGGAGTCTAAATTTCCATGATGTAAGGTGTATTTATCAATTCGAGTAAAAAAATTATTTCCAGATAGTCACTAGCGTCTTTCCTTCCGGTGGACGCAAAGTCAATCATTCAAGTACTCGTTACTAAATATTTAGGTTTAAATTCGAACTCGTCGTTCCGACTGGAGAAATAATCTCTATTTTTAGTTTACTCGACCAATCAACACACGATTCAATTACGAGTAATTTGTCAAACGTGTGTACCATTTAATTTTTATACAAGTTTTAGTTCTCAGGCAGATCGTCACCGAAAGAAAGAGACGCTGTTTCGCTAATCGGAACTCTGTTTACCGACACCGTTTCAAAGGGTGTCAGGCCCGCTCTTCTTTCGTTTTCGCAATAGCTGGTTGATGTTCAACGGCATCATCGGAACGTATTTCTCGCTGGGACGGAATTTGTACTGGGAGCACAACCGGTTGGCCACCTCCTCCTCGTAACCGTTCCTGCAACAAATGAAACGCATCGCGGTCACAGAATGGATCCCGACGATCGCGGTAACGTTACGAGAGCAGAATCGACAATAGCGTTCGAGGAAGCGTTGGGAACCCCATAAGAACCGCCACCGCACCGCCACCCACCGGACGCCAGAGAAACTGATATGAATTTAACGGTTTACTCGCTCAAACATCGCCTCGAAGGTACTGCTGCTTTCGTTTGAGGATCTCGGCCATCGCTTGGAAGAACATCTTCACGAACAGAACCTTCTTCGCGTAATGATCGTCTTGCGATTCGTTGATCTTGTACCTCAGCGAGTTTTCCCAGTAGTAGTCGCAACTGGAGGGATCCGACGAGCAAAATTGTTAAATTATACCTAGCCTAGGATCGGGTTGCGTTCGCTCGTGAACGTTCCAGAGTTGAATTTTTGCTGAGGTACTTACGTGCCCCCATTATTCATGAGAATACCGATAGCATTAAATTAAGTAAAGAAACTATCCATTTTTTCGACGGAGGAGTTTCTGGTGGATTATCCAGTATACAAATTTCGTTAAATCGAAAACCGGATCCTACCTTTGCCACTGTGAGCACGGGCGTCTCTCCTTGAAGCAAGTTACTTGTACGACGTTGAAGAATAGGGCACCGAGGGTGTTGGCGACTTCCGAATTAAGATTCTGCAGGCATCTGCGGAACTTCGCGTCGCAGTCGCAATGGGACCGCGTGTACGGCGATCTGTTGCACACGCCGTGTATGCACTCCTGCGGCGATATAGTGATCGGGCAATGATCGTGCTCCCTGCAACAGGCGTCCTCCAACCGGTGGCGACCTAGGTCGTCGTACGACGCCGCCACTGTACCGGGTCCGCACCATTTTGTACCGGGGTACATCAAGCCACCGCCTTGAGGCTGGTTCTGACAAAGTGCAAACCTTCGTTTACTCTAGAGATTACCCGACCACGGTAAACAATATGCTGGAAGAAATATATAACTACTAGTAATATATTTCTTCCGTCAATTATAAACGAAACAACACGATCGTTGATACGGTACGCTCGTTGCATAGGTTGATATCCATTTGACTCCAATAAAAACAGGAGTGTGGAGTGTATGTGGCCGAGTTTATGTAAATGCTGGGTTAATTCGTTACGAAACTGTAAACTGTAAAACATTGTTAATGGCGGGAATAAATTCGACCTTGTATGCCTCGCTCAAAGTTCAAGAGCGTAATGAAAGTGGAGTATACGCGATTGTTATCGTCGAGTAAAGAGCATCATAAAACACTAGGTGTCATTTTAATCCTAAGAGTATCGTATTACTCGGATGATCTAATACCAGGATCGTTTCCTGACGAAGTTAAACCATGAGCTTAGTTTGTAACTACAAATATGGAAGCGCTCTGCTCGATGGGGGTTGAGAGTCATACCTTTCCCTTAGCACGAGAGGCTCTGCACGTTTCCTCGAGGTCCGCGACGAGATTATTAGGCATTTGCCGGACTTTCTTCGGATTGGCGCCGAGGACCAGACTTTGTATGACGCCACGATCGCTGTACAGAGCGCAATAAGGCGGCTCCGGTTTTATTTCCACCATTCTGGACATGGTGGTGTCGGCCACAAAGACGCTGGCCTGGCCTCCATCGCCCCAAAGCGTCGGTATTAGTAACAGGAACACCGCGAGCATCTACAAACATGATCAAACAAACACTGTTTGTTGAGAATTTCCGATCGTGTGAACGAATAACTCAGATATCGAGTCGAAAATTGAGCACGTTTCATTTTATCATCGATCATAAAGGTTACGCTCAGTTCAAATTTGCATTCATTAGAATTTTAAACAGGGATCCCGAAGAAGGTCGAACGCAACTTGCGAAACTCCTATTAAAGGTTGGCAGTGTTTGGCAATTAAATTATCAGGAATTTTTATAGAGTTTTTGTAACGTTTTATGTGTTAAATATTTACGACTATAAATAAGTAGACAGTAAATAAAAACTAGAAATAGTATGAAAATAGTCATATGTTCAAGATCGTCAGTGGTATCATTCGTCGAAATGGAAACGACTTTCTTTAATATTTTCTTAATTTTACTAAATATATGATTGTGGTTTTCTTGAGCACGGACCAACGGGTTTATTTATCTTTCGTTCAACCATTGCACCCGTTAATAAGAACGTCAACAGCAACGAGCATAGTGGGTCAATGATTCGCAAACATTTCCCAACAATTGAGCAACTACTCGCTGGTTAGACAAATATATCAACGTTATTGGTGTTTTAACCGCATTTTCTCTTGAACAAACAGTGACAACACCATAACAACGAACGCACAAGGTCGAGTAATTGCAAACTTGGCGCGGAGAGATTGTATCTCGAGATTAAAATGCATTGCAATTTCTTTGATCGTCGTGTGATTTTTACAAGTGATAAATATCAATTTGAAGAGGGAGGAATTTGGTATTTAACGAGTTGGACGGGGCTCCCCTGGATTGCCGTGATATGGCAAAATTAGTACCCCCGTGATCCAGGACTAGGAAAGCCTGCAATGACTATGACACGGGTCTAATGAAAACTGATTGCGTTACGTGACAGGACAGCGTGACGTTTTCTTTCTTAATCTGTCATTAAACGTTGCTCGTTGAACGCCGCGTTTGAACAGATTGCCCCGCAGGAATTCCGGTCGCTTTAACGAGCCAACTGGCGGGGTAGAGATCAATTAAACGTTGTGGATCGATTCGATTCTCCTTGCCACGGGTCAAACGGTCCTGCCTATGCTGATTCCGCTCGGGAATCCCGCCTCCAGAATTCCCCAGATTTTTCCACAAATTTCCATCCCCTTTTCGAGCTTGAAAATAATTTTTGAGATAGTTCAGGATTCCAGATTCCAGATTCCAGATTCCAGATTCTAGGACTCCCAAGAGTATTAATTTCTCCCCCCATTCTTGATAATTAAAACGCAGAACTCTGGATCTCTGAACCATCTGGATCAACGACTGCACGATGCTGTTACAATCACGGAAGAGGTTGCATTTTTCTTTGACCGTAGATACCCAGAGATATAAAATTGCACCCGTTAATGAGAACGTAATACGAGCCGATGCAACGGATTCTATTATTAGCATAATTTGTAATTTTTGTTCGCATCTTACAAGGCAAGCATCAAGGTGTTCGTACGTCCTTGCGCGTACTCGATTCATTACGTCGGAGGATCGGTTTTGTAATTTAAATAACACGCTTACGCGCTCACGTTATTCAATATTTCCTGGATTTTCGCATTCACGCTTCTCTATTTAATATATTTATTAAAACACGAAACGGAAAGGTTGTTTTAACGACAACGTTTCAGCACGGTTTTCGGTGTCTTGATAACGATTTCCTTTTCTCTAATTATGGAAACGCGACCCCGTGTACACTTTCCAACCTTGCTCCACATGCAGCAATGACGATTCCATTTCCACCATTTCACCGCCATCAAATCATTCGTTCAATGGAATAATACGCATTCTGATCGGCGGTGGGATCAAGTTCAACATTTAAATTTTATTGACGCGCTCCGAGTGTCTCAAATAAAAATCTCGTTTCTGAGAATTAAAATCAACTTATTTGCCCACCCCCTGACGCCCTCCGTATTTACATATTTACCAGGCACAATCGCAACGGAGGAAAACGCTGAAATACTTACAACTGATTCGCTGGAAATTAACACTTGCTACGAAAAATCTCGCGTCGCAATAAGGGAGATTTATTTTGAACGAAGCATCGAACCGCGTGCACTTGGATCTCCTCGCGGGTAACTGACGCTCGTTCGCGGAAGAGCGTCGTCTTTTCCAAAACTTGGAAACGCGATTAAGAGTCGCACGGTGCCCCGTCGTGTGATTAATCGCGGAGACGAAATGTGAGGCGAATATTCGAGGCAGCGACTCTCGAAGGAACGCGTGGCGACTGATGGTGCTTCACCTTTCTCGAGAACTGTTCCCCAAAGATCTCATCAAGGACGCGTCTAGTAAGGCCATTAGGAGATAAGGAAGAAAAGGAACGTCCAAGGTTTCGTACTGGCTGTCCTTCCGATCGACATTGTCCAGTAATTCGACCGATCGATTCTCCGCGAGGGAATCGAATAACCGTGTTTCCGGTTCCCATTGGATCAGCGGTTTTCCTCCAAACGAAAGGAAATTTCTGCTTTAAAGAGTAGCTCACGAAAGTGTTCGAACGCCTCCAATCTACATGGTTAACAAATAAAACACGTTGGGTTTAAGTTTTCAAAATAAAATTGTAAATGAAGGCACTTAGGAGTCTTGAGAACGTATAAGTAAAATTACGAAGAAATCTGACAATGCATACAGGATTCACAAGGCACTGAGTATAAACATACCATTTTTGGACGTCACAAAAGTATTCGAACGTATGAATAAATCTTGAATTGTTCGATGTTAATATCTGGTTGGTCCTCCTTTGGCATCAATAACCATACTGTATACAAGTTTCTCTGTTGTCTTTTCTTCAATGGGATTCCATATTTCTGTTATTCTGTTTTTTAACATTTCCTTGGACGTCATGTCATAACTTCTAAGTTTTCTTCCAGTTTCGGCCCATAAATGTTCTATGGGATTTATGCGGGGTATTATATTAGGTGTACAAATGAACAATCCAATTTTTTCAACCACATCCAATGTTTATGTTAAAAGAAAGTAAATTGAATTGTTCGATCAAAGTATTCGCCGTTACTTTCTGTAACTTTAAGCCATCTTTCAAGCAGCTGATAAATTCCATCTCGGAAAAATTTTACGTTTTTGGATAAAGTTGTCAAGCCAACAAATGAGATTTGAATTAGTTCCAAGGCTCGTCTTGCGCAACTTTATATTTCGTTATTTAACTCTGAAACGTTCACGAGTACCGATGGTCCTGCGAATGTATCAGTTACTACTGGAAAGAAGAAATGTCCAACGACCTTGCGAATCTCCGCGAGAGCCTCTGGCCACGAAACGCGACTCTAAATTGCTTTTAAATAACCTTCGGAGATTGCTGGCGATAAAAGATGGCAAATTATCGAAGACGTCTGTTTATTCGGAGATTTCTGCGTCGTGAATTTTAAAGAAATTGCGTAAAGTTTCTCCGAGTTTGCCAATTCTATTTACAATGAGAAAAGCCCCGATGCTTGTAAAATTAGACATGAAAAAATGGCGTCAACGTGTTGAACTTAACCCCTTGATGCGTGCGAAATTTTTGATATAAAATTAAGTATAACGAACAATCTGTAACTTTGACGATGTAAGGTCTCTATAGGATGTTAAGTATCTGTCTGTGCATTCGGTGTGCACCAATATTGATAGCAATATTAAAAGCATGAGACGAGAACGATCGAATGTGAGGTTATGTTACGATCAGTTTAAGGTTATGTTACGAGCAATTGACATTTAAATAGCGATACACAATAACGTTCTCGGATCGATAGGAAATTAATTTAATTAGCCTGATTAGATCATCCCAGTTTGGGAGGGTTGATTATGATCCTGAAAGCGTGACGCTAAACACCCCGCGCCATACTGGCGAAATTGAAGCCGATAGATAGAATCTGGGTCAGCGGGGATCGTTGACGAACTTGTCTCTTGAACCTGTGAACCACATCGACAACCCTATAACCGTGGCCAATCAACTGCGACTCGTCGACTCTGACCCACCTTCGTCGACTCTGAGGGTCACTTCGTAAATCATTATCATCGTATCTGATCGGTCACAGGTCCAATGCTCCACCGGACTGGGACAGTTTCGTTCCCAAATTATTAAACCCCGTTATAGATGATGACCCAATATACAGCGCAGCAAGTTATGCTCTCGGGAATTGACGAAGATATCGACTCAATTTTTTGTCGAATTAAATTGTTCAAGGGGGCTGGTCTTTTTTTTTGGCGTGAAACAAATTTTGTTTCTTTAATCGTTTACTAGGTTTGTAACATGGAGCACGCAAGAGCAAATTTAACGTCAAATTATTTAATGAACTTGCGTTAAAAAGAGCGACGTTCTAATGGAACACAAAAGTTCGAAATATATAATATATATACAAATAAAATAATTGTCTATTCTTCGCGAAATAATTTCTCAGTATTTCTACATAAAGTCTTTTCACTTTCATTAATTTTGTTTAGATAAAATATCTTGTACCACGAAGTCGTAAACGCGTGGAGAATTGTAAAATGGAGCAGCAAAGAGTAGTACGATAACAAAGAAACGCAATACCGTCGTCGTGGAATTAGCGAAATTAGCGTCGATTTGACGCGGAGTACAATTCCCGGGGAGAATCGTCGCTCGTTACGACACGTAGTGCGCGAACCGCTTTAAATCGATGAATTACCCTGTGGAAAGCTCGTGCACGTGCAGCAACGTGCATGGCGTGGACGTTGCACCAACCGCGGCCCAAAGAACACCGAAGAAGAACCACCCAGTCGTTGAAGGCTACGGTTCGAAGGGATCGCGCGTTCGAACCGCGATCGATCGGTTCGCAACTGATCGGTCCGATCGCGGCGGAGAAAAGGCTACGAGTCGGCGGAATAACGCGAAAAGCACTGAATGAGGAAGCAAGGTGCGCTTGGGCTGCCAGCACTGTCAGCACCACCCCCGTCTGCGCACCCCCGAAACCGCAACGCGACTCGAGCTGCTGCAGTGCGCAACAACCCTTCCGGGCAGGTAGACACGGAATTGATACGATTATCCATTTAATTCATCGTTCGAAAATACTCCGCCAGCGTGGCACTTTTAAAAACTTCTATTATTCCAACGAACGAACAATGCATACATGGTAACGACAAAGATGATTTTTAATATTTCAACGACCGTGCACACGCTACCGACTATTGCACATTTTTATTAAGTAATAAATAAAGTATCGCGCACGCACCGAAGATAAAATAATTTTATACATTGTAAATTCTTGTTTATCAGTACGCGTAAGTTGTCTACATTTTTGTACATTAAAAATTTTCTTTTGCGTCCACTGGTTATAGAACACTTTTTTTTTAAAGTTTGCCCGATTTTATTTTGCAAAATGCTGCTTTATCCTCTATTGCAGTATTTTACAAAATGGGGGGAAGGAGAGAGTCTTAGAATACAAGGGGGACACGAAAGAAAATCTTTAAAAAAAATCATACAAAAATTCAGCGTGCTTCAGAAAGGTGTCGAAAGTGTTTGAAATTGCTTTATGGACAATTGAACTCACGTTAATGTACCGTTGCCTTCGATTTCTATTAGGAAAAGTGACCGGCGACGCGTGTCGTGGTCCTGCGAGAGCCGTCAATGTCTCCGGAAGTTTGCGTACGTCCAAGGGTGGATGTTATCGGATGCCCTCTAGCCCGAACAAGGCTAGCTTTGTTTCTCCTCAACGGCTGCTATTAGACTGATCGTTGAAACGTATCGTCAGGATACTAATATTCAGGGGCATAGATATACGAACCCGTGGTCCAGATGCGTTACATCGGGGAGACTCGAAATCACGTGATACGCCTGCATGTTTATAACTATATAACATATAACTGTCCGCTGCAAAATAGATAGCATTAATGTCGTCGCCGTGCTAGGGCACTCCGGAGGGCTACGCTTCGTATACAGAGTGACCGAAACGAAATTCAAATGAAAGTAATATAAGTATCGAGTACACTTTTCAGGAGGAAGTGATAAAAAAAACAGGTTGGATAAGGGATTACATCGTAAATATACATACATAGTATAATCACGTATACGTGACAGCGGCCGTCAAAGTATTAAATGTAATATCTTTTGGAGGGGGGGACCTACGGTTCTTTCGACTCTTTTTAAATACAGTAATCGAAAAAATTTGACCCTGAATTTTTAGGTCAAGGATAATTTCACATCGAACTTTTTTCTCAATATATATTTAATATTTTTATATACTTTGTACGTAAACTCGTTAACACTATACTGGGGTACGCGGTACCCCAACACCGCCGCTAATGAACAACACAACCGCTTCGAACAAACTCGAAACTACTACTGGACAGGTCTTTCCCCGTCAAAAGATTACCAGAAAGCATAAATGACCGAGTGCCTCTTGGAAACGCAGTGCTCCGCTATAGTATCCCCGAGTTAACTTCGGTTTGCCATCATCCTACTCTATTTGGGCCTAGGATCGAACGTTGCATCTGTATTGCAGGGGGAAAGAAATAAAAGTCCTTGATTAAGGGGACCGTGCTGCTATGGCTAAATAGAATGTGATCGGTATTGAGTAATTTCGCCTTACGAAGGCTTGCTATAGCATCTGACCCAATACGACTTGCGTGGAAGGTCTTCTTTGCTCGTGTTTTCTCTCAACTGTATCAACCTTTCACGCACGAAATATCTTTTTGTTCGTTCGCAACCTGTAATCAGATTTTAATTTTTTACGTATATCAATTCAATTTAAGTCAAAGTGTTTTACGATGTATCTTAATCGTTTATCTCTCACCGAGATTCCGATATAAATATTATAAATAGTGGTAGACGCGAGAAATGCTTAAAAATCGTTCGTTGGGTACAGAAAGGAAGAACAATCCACTCGTACGCTTCAAGAAGCTTTTATTTTACATTGACAATCGTCGATATTGTCAATCACCGTCCACTTATCCGAATAATAGCCATCGAAGTAAAAATATCATTTTATTAGTCACGTAGTCTTTTGTTCTCGTTCTAGAACTACCTCCGGCCTGCCTCCATCGATGCATACACGTCCAACGTAAATACAAACACCTCGATCGATCGCGACTTCTTCATGAAATTCCGATGCTCGCGCGTACTGGTTAAACTCTTAAACGATTTTATACTCTCATCGATGTAAAATAAGTGCACCTAATCCCGACGCTAACCCAGTTATAAACAATTTAAATTCCATTAACGTAGTTACTAGCAGGGAAATCAATATAGTGACTTCGGTGGTCAAGTTACCGAGGGGTTGGAAACAATTTTTTTGTAATTAACGAATAAATGTTTAAAATAAAAAACAGATATAGTATTTTTCATTTTAACGTCAAACACGCTCAAATCTTAATATTATGATTGAGACACCTATGGTCAATGGTGCTTCGTTCCTTTAGTATTCAAATATAAAATAAACTTTCGTGCCAAAAGATGCGTCGATAACTGGAACGTACCTAACGTGATAATAAAACGGAACGAGATCAAAATAGCTAAAATTCACCGTTTAAACCTAAAATTTATGGGATCCATTCGACTTCGTTGGTCTCGTAATCCCTGGTAATGGCGGCTCTGGTGTGCTCCTCCGGTTTGCTGGTGCTCTTCTCCTCGCTTCCCGCTATTTTGTGGTAAACTTTGCTACCCGCAGAGGCCACCCATTGGACCCCATCGCCTAATTTCTCCCCGGCCTTGCGCACCACGTTGCCTATGTTCTCGGACGAGAACGTGTTCGGATCTACATTGATATCTAGCGTGTTGTTGCCCTTGGGGCATCCGGTTTGAGTGATGATGCTCAGATCGTAAGGATCCACGCCGAAGTTACTCAATTTCTGACGTATCATGTCTACGTAGCTCTTGTCCAGGTCGCGGTGTCTGGAGAGGATGGTGGCGCTCTGACGATGAGCGAATGCAAACTTCTGGCAGGTGAAAACGCCCGCGTAGTTCGCGTAGTCGGTGGCGAAGATCACGTGCGACGCACTTCCAGCTACGCCTAAAAATAAATTGCATCGATTGCTTCCTTCCTTTGGCACGGTTGAATAATTTATGCGAGTAGGGAATGCAGATAAAGTTCGGTTGCACTCGAAGACTACAAAGACGCGAACTTCTGCTTTACAATTAAATTTAAATTGCTCGTCCATCAATTTTTCATTACTGTTCGGAAAATATTCAAGATTCCCCCAAGAGCGCCTACCAATTGTCCCAAATTGGATGAACGAAAACTCAATTGTCAGTATATACGAGTTCAAAAGCACTCGTCTGCGTAGACTGACGTTCGGGAGATCGCGAAACGAGCTTAATTAATTTGTATCTAATCACAGCACTACTTTATCACGATACTTACTGAGAGGAAAACGAACTTGCATTCGTGCCGCGGTGCTCAGTTCCGGAATGGTCAATTCACCGGTGTAATGATACTCGTGCTTCAATGGTGTAAGTCCTACGTACAGAGACATAGCTTTATTACGGATAATTCATCCCACTTGCCAGACAGTTATTCCATTGACATGCTTTTATGAGTCCCGATGGGGCCCAACATTCTCCTCCTTTATTAATCTACAAGCTTCTAATAGTATGTACAACGCCACAAGCGCGAGTACAAAAGAAAATCATTGACGTTCAACCATTGTTGTAAGTCTTCGAAAACACAATTTTACATCATCTTCCGTGACCTTGCCCTTATAAACTTAGTTTCGTTTCTATTCCTAACGATCTTACCTAATACCGGGTGATCAGAATCTTGGGTTATCACGTACTCGCCAGGCTCTTCGCCGCGAGTGTAATTGTACGTGATGCATTTACTGGCCGTCGACGTCTTCTGGATCACGTACCATACGCCTAGAAACTGAAATTTAATAGGGAAATTTTATTTCGAAGGTACACGAAGCGGACAAGTGACTCGTTCAATTTTCCACTTACCTTATTCATGTGGAATTCCGGCACTGGTTCTACAATGGGACAGGCGCCCAAGTGATATGTGTGGGCTTTGGCTAAGACAAAGCATCCCACCAGCAATATAAAAGAAGATAGAGTCCTCATCTGGAAATACAATCTTTACAATATACTGAAATTAGGAAATATTAATATTCGAATGCTCGTAATAATAATTCGACGATTCAATTATCTCGCAATATCATTTCCTTATACAACCCTGGGATAAATTTTAATGGGTGATTCTAGAGGCCAAAATAAGATGAAAATCAAGAATACCAATTTGTTTATGGAGGCTTTGTTAAAAAGTTATTAACGTTTAAAGTCCCGCTCGTACTGAATTTTTTTCTCGAAAATGCGCAGGATTTCGGGGGTATGTCTATTCACCAAAAATTATTGCAATTGACCCCCACAACCGAAAATAATTTTTCCAAAACAATCTGAAAATTTTTTTTTTCCGTCGAAAAATTTCACACCTCGAATTTTTTTCTAGAAAGTGGGTAGGATTTCGGGGGTATGTCTATTCACCAAAAATGATTGCAATTGACCCCCGCAACCGAAAATAATTTTTCCAGAACGATTTGAAATTTTTTTTTTCGTCAAAAAAGGCACCTAATTAGATTTTCGGTAAGGAATTTTTTTCTCGAAAGTCCGTAGGATTTCGGGGGTATGTGTAATGACCAAAAATGATTATAATAGATCCTCGCAACCGAAAATAATTTTTTTAGAACGATTTGAAATTTTTGAATTTAATTGTTAACAACTTTTTAACGAAGCCTCCATCAACAAATCGATATTCTTGATTTTCGACTTATTTTGGCCTCTAGAATCCCGCATTAAAATTTTTCCCACGGTTGACCGAACACCCTGTATAATACTTATGCCTGGAAATCCCCGCACGCAATCTACAATTTAATTTTTTCATAGATCCCCCTTGAAAACATAACATTGTAAATTGCACCAGCTTATAATTCTATTTTCGTTGTAAAACTTCGAGAAGAGATATCGTTGTTTACTCCAAAACCGTTGCACTACAATTTAGTACTATTAATATTCGAATATAGTAATAATATCGTATACGTTGTTATGTAAGTTAATAAATTATTAAAACAATATAATACTTCTTTTACATTATTTATCCCATTTAAACACAGACTTCCAATTCGAACAGTTTATTTAAAATACTATGATATGATTCACTTCTGGTGAATTTTAAACCGTGAACTGCATCGAGTATCTGATGACGCTTCTGTCCGACCGTTACACCGAAAAAAAAAAAAACACGCACGAGATTAAAGGGCAACCTCGACGACCTCCGTACTTCGTAGAAGCTTCTTTATTTACAGCGTGAGACTCAGCTTTCACATATCTGCCATGAACGACCCGTATATGCTTTTATGTCCACGCGACGTTAATTAACATAGCGGAAAATGTAGATCCATGTATACGCAGAACACTACATTTATGTAACAAAATAACGGGTTGAAAACTCTGTGTGCAGCGGTGTCCGTAGCTGAACTGAAACCTTGTTGTGGAAAGTTTCCTATCGAAACGGGAATTCCTTTCATAAAACGAGAAACGAAAATATCAAAAGATTTAGCTCCCATTAATTAATATGCTTCGAGCACAGATTTTCTGGAAAATATTTTATTATCAAAGTCTATCCGCAAATTAAGTTTCACTGTCTCCGATTGGAAGAGACCGAACAATGAAATGATTTTACACAAACGTTCACAGAAGTCTTGTAATACATGGAAGCACATACGAGTATTTAAATATTCATTGGAGTCAATGGCCGTTCGAGCAACGCGCAAATTACATTGGAATACGATAATGGATGAAAATTAAATGCAAAATTATAAAACGTTACGCGTCTAAAGCGAAGGAAGTTTACTTACGGCGAAGCGATATTGTCAGACTCTGAACTGGTACTGTAAACACTAGACCGCATGGAGGTCTTTATGAGACGTGCCCCACTCTGAATCCGACTGCGGGTCACACACACTTTCAATGAACTGGTACAGTGCCGATCAAACACGTTATCCCTAAGGAATCTAAAGTAATTGACTCATTTCTTCGGTTACCTTTTTTGTGAAAATGATTTTTTTCTATCCTATGCCGCGTTAAAATATTAATCTACTTAAACAATAAAAGACAATAAAAGACACGATACTGATCATTTATGTATGACGAACCTGGTCGATACGCAACGTCGTTCGACCACGTTCATGTGATTTTAATTTTTATTAAAGAAGGAAGGGAAGATAAGGGTACCGTATTTTGAAAAATATCATCAGACTGTTATTTATTTACCACTGACTTTTAAGTATTTACGTTCGTAAGAGGATCTAATTGTATCGAAATATTTACTAAATAATTACACTGTGCTTGCTTGGACCACAAATGCAAAATGTATTTTTATTAAAGAAGGTAGCAAAGACGCGGGTCTCGCATAATTCTCTTACACCGCTGGTAGCGATGAATCACTTTCAACCGTAAGCGAATCAAGCTAGTTGTTCCGAGAACCGCTAACACCACGTATGGTTTCATTCTTTTCTCCGTAACAATGTAATTTAATTTGTATATTGGAAGATAAAAGGCAACGTCATACTAGGGGAAAATAGCGGTGCAATTGCACGGTACCACCGCGGAAGTAACGAAGATGTTCGAACAAACACGGAATAACGCTTTCGAATAAAATATCGTCATTTATTTGAGAATAAAAGTACAAAAGATATATTTCAACAAGCTTATGAGATTGTTCAGTGATATGTACACGTGGCAATAGCAAAATATCCTTAGTTGAGTTAAAGTAATCTGCTCTTTCTGAAGAAGTAATGTTTCTATTCAGTATGGTATAATGGTATTTAAAGGCACTTATAGTTCCGCAATACCTTCGTTTAAATCGATAAATGCTAAATATAGAAAATAAGTAAATTTTAACAAATACGTAATACGTCGTGCTGTCGGTTAGACAACTGTGCATTTTTTTTTGTGTGTGCTAAAGATGAATCACTGAAATATCAAACTGCTACAGTTAAACTTGCTCGAGCATGCTGCGGTGACTTATCATGACATGGTACGTTCATCGAAATTTTCATTCAAAATTCTGTCGAAAAAAACACAATATAATCGCAATAAGAAATCAAAGTACCCTACATGAATTTTCCATATCCAATGAGCAGTCATAAAAAGGAAACTTAAACGTGTTCTTATACTCGAATAAATAAACTTCATTTTCAGATACCCTGAGACATATTCTCCATATAGTCACACGATTAAAACGTCACAATATCTGAGCAATATACATCTATCATTTCGTAGTTCTCCGTACTTTTATGCGGAAGGCAATTTGGTTAGATCCAAATCGTTGAAATAAGGATGTTGCAAAGCAGATCGCGCCGATATTCTGTGCACAGGATCATAGATAAGCATCGATTGCAAAAGATCGAGACCATCCGCGTCTAACGTTTTAACTTGCGACTCCAAATTATTTGTTATCCAATTTGGAAATGTAGCCTTGTAATCTGTTAGTTGTGTTACACCAGGCCATATCTCTTCGGTAGGAGTCCTCAGTATACTATAAAATACATATATTATTACTTTCCATTCCATCAAGTTACAATCCAGCACAGGGGTAGAGAACCTTCTGCAATTCAAAGACTACGATGTTACTTCACGGATTCCTCCTAATTTTGTCAAAAGTATGGGATATGTATCTAAATACTAATCAATGTCCTTTTAGAAACCTATAGACTAGCAAATTACACGCGGCCTTTAAGCTGCTAGTTCCCCATCCCTAATCTAGTACATCGTTCGAGTCATACCGAAATATTCTAAATAGTTGATCGATCTCGCTATCTCCTTGGAATAGCGGTTTCTTAGTGGCCATTTCGGCGAATATACAACCTACGCTCCATATGTCGATGGCGCACGAATATCTGTTAGCGCCGAGAAGAATTTCTGGAGCTCTGTACCATAAAGTAACTACTTCGTGCGTGTATATTCTGACCGGTATGCCAAACGCTCTACCGAGCCCGAAATCTGCTACTTTAATAACCCCTGATTTGTCGATCAGTAAATTCTGAGGCTTCAAATCGCGATGTAATATTCTACGCTTGTGGCAGAAAAGGATAGCGCGCGTAATCTAGAATAGAATGAACGTGATTAATATAAAAAATATGAGCAGAACGATAAATATTGGTAGTTTTGGTACTGTTTAAAATTATGTTACGCAAGACCAGAAGAAAAAAAAAACCTTCCCAACCCTGCACAGTTGTATATTACATACATTATTATATTTACCAACCTGATATAAATAAGATTTAACCATTTTTGGTTCTAGCACTTTCCCAGCACCTAAACTATCCATATATTTTTTTAGATCCATAGTAAGGTATTCAAAAATGAGATACAATCTGGTCTCTTCCATCAACACATCCATTAATCTGACAATATTGGGATGAGGTAACTCTTTGAGCAATGATATCTCACGAATTGCCGTTGATGGCATTCCGTCGTCATCACTTTCCAAACGAATCTTTTTCATAGCTACAATTTCCCCTGTTTTCTTGTGCTTTCCCTTATATACTACCCCATAAGTACCTGTGAAAATCTTTTACTGTATCGCCTCCCACATTTTGCATACAGTACATAAAGAAACATTAATGGCAATGTTTTCCAGCATAGACAGGAAACATACATATATTTGTGTATCTTAACAATAGATCAATGACAGAGACGTGCAATTCTTATTCGTTTAATGCAGTACTCAATTATATCTAACAACTCAAATTTGTATTCTCATTAAACAAATAATGGATTTATTATTATTCAAAGCTTTTATCCAAATAAGAATTTTACCCGTCTCCGACCAGCAATTATAATTGCCAAAAAAACTTATCCTACAATAACGTAGATCGATAGACGCAAACTTAACAAAAATTTGTAAGCCACGCTAATAATTACGATAATTAACGATCAATTAATTGTACTCGATGACAGAATAGCGGTCGAAATAATCTCAGATTACCAGAGAGTACAACCTCGGTACATAATAAAGGAAGTTTAATTGGAAAAGCACGACCTGGATAGTAAGCATCGTCAAATCACCTTCACCGATTTTCTCGATCTTCACGAAATTCTCCATTACGAATGCACGGTCGTGAAATCCAAGGCCAGCTGATAGTCTGTTCTAACCCGTATCGCTCCAATATATCACGTAAATGTTACAATTTCACATATGTTTTCAATGTGTTTCACAAACTTCTCAGTGTGCCGTCACGTAACGATCAAATTCAAACGTCGGTACGCCATATTGGTAAACACGTTAGAAAGTTCGTCATTCGTATTGCCCCGTAACAGCTCGGCCGTGCTCGACCAATTGAAACAAGCGTCGCAATGGCAACTACGCGTAGGACCAGTCAGGGTTAATATTACTAGATTATAGACCGATGTGTTGAGCATCTGGTAACACTGGTGCACACAGAAGCACAGATGTTCTCTCTAATCCCGCGTTTTTTCCCCCTACTTCGTACATAACTTCCTCAAAACTACGATCATATCATATTTCGATTTTCTCTAATCTTCGTTCGAAATTCAATACGGCAACATTAAATTCGCAATTACTGGCCAAGTTTACCTTTGTATCTAAAAATTGTAATGGAAAACCTGAAAAGCATCATAGATACTCATGTCCTAAACTTGAAATTCTTCGAAACCTGATTTCAACTTTGGCTACTCAAAATTTTGATAAACGAATTAGACTATGGGTACATTAATTACACGAGTACTTGAGTACATGAGTATCCGTGAAATAGAGGTTAGGAATGTTCATATACTGCAAATTACACGGATTGAAATACAAATGCCCATGTATATAATAAATGCTGCTCGAAATATTAAAGTTCGTGTCAGCACGAGTATAAAGAAATACAATGTAAATACATTGAGCTACAGAGGAAGAACTCGCAGGGCAAATAAAGGTAGCAGCTGCAAGAATTGTTTGATGTTTATTTAGAAAAAAAAAAAAAAGAAAAACGTCATCTCTGCAAATGTATCTCATATGTATTTGTACATACAGCATATAGATACAATGGAATTATTATATAAATAATGCTGCAAAACGCGTTCGTAGCATAAAAAGATTCATCGTCTCTTTCACTTTCCCATGGCCAGAAACTAATTGGGGATAAAATCGTCAAGTCGAGAGCATCGAGTCCTCCTCAGAGTCTTTAACAAATTTATTTTCAAAGTTTACAATATAATTACATAACGCTAACAAGATCTTTCGAATCTTTGTTTCATAAGCTATATTCTATATAGTCACTATTTATAACGACTTTGAAATGAAACTCTGTTTTGCAATCGACCTGACAAGACTGCAAAAGCAACAAACAAAAGTTATGTCGTGCCTGTGACTGGCATTTGTTAACCGTAACTTAACATTTGGAAAATTTCATTGTACTTTATCGTGGAAATTGATAGCCACCGGTGGCGTAGCCAAGACCGACACCACGTTGCGTGTGTGTAGTAGCACGTGCTACTTCATATTGTTGTTCCATATTGTTAAACATTTCCTCTTGTTTTTTTAATATGTCTGGTTTCGTACCAGCCGCCGGGGCGGCTGGCAAGTCGTCTTTGATACCCATTAATCGTTTAAATTTCGCTGTTACTTTTCCATCCTGATCGTGAGTGAATGTCGTCCCTACCCACGTATTAGCAGTTGAGGCTGTCGTAGACGTTTTGCCTTCGTCTTGCTTCGTCTATGAATACAAATTACGCGACGAATACAATTTACAAAAGTCAAACGAACCCTTGATGATAGTTCATTGTTAAAATGACTAATACACCAACAATAACCATTGTTGCTCCCCAATGATAACTAAACGTTTAAGAAAGTAATGACAAATAGGAAGATTATATTAGAAACACGAGAATGCGCCTTCGGAAGTATGTGAAAACTGTTTTAAATATCTTATCGGTAAGTGATAGGGTTATATGAAAATAAAAGATTTTACAGTCGGGTTTAACGTCATAGGTTAATAGATATAATCAAAGAATTAAATGTTCACGTACTATACTAATATCAACTATGTCACTCGCCTGAAAATGGTACTTATATTACTACGCTATTATTTGCCATTACTCTTTTAATATTTTACAATTTATGTAAACTGATATGGTTTGATGTAAAGAAAAAGAAATTTAAAAAATCAGCTACTTTATATTTACCTTATTCGCCCATAAAAGCTTCCTCTTCTGTATTTGTTCGGCGTATTTTCCTTGCGTCGCCGTTGCCAATGGATTGTAATAATTCTGTTCGCTTTGAACACCCGGTACCGGGGCATCCCCCTCCGGCGCTTTCAATTCGATTCCTAATTTTTCTAGCTGTGCCAACTTATTTCTGCTTTTCTCCTCCCGGTAGCTCATTGTTCGGAAAGGAGGCGGCGCGCGATCTCTTGATCTTGATCTCGATCGCGTGCGATCCTTCTCTTTATGGTAACTAGATCGATCATCCCGGTGTCGATCTTTCGTCCTGTCGTCCCTAGAATGTCTCCGATCTCGATCCCTGTCCCTGTCTCTGCGTCTGTCTCTGTCGTTTCTGTCGCGATTACGATCCCTTCTGTCGTCGCGGTTCTTTTCTCTGTCGTCGGTTTTCTCATCCCTGCTGGACCCCAAAGAGCTCTTTTCCTTCTTCTTCTCATCGTCGCGAGATTTTCTATCGTCGTCTCTACTCCTTTTTATGTCTCTACTGTTACTCTCCCTGTGGCTACTCTCACGTTGCCTCCTATCATCGTACGACGATCGCCGGCCTTTATCGCTCGTGTGTTTACTACGGTCGGATCGATCTCCTCGTTTGTGGTCGTCTTTCGAATTTGCTGTATGATTTTCATGATCAGATCGCCTGTAAAACGATTACGTTCTGCAGGGTATACCACACAGATTCGTATTATTATTCTGTATGTATGGGAAATATTATGTGGTAAAATATGTCGCAAATCTCTCATATAAATAGAAATAGAAACAGCCGAAGAGAGTGTATCGTTTAAATGCGGAGGAAAATACGTTCGTAAACAAACCAGCTCACCTCTGGTCTGAGGAGGAAGGTAATGTGCGGGATGTGTCTGTTCTCGATTGCGTCACCGGACTATTTGCACGTTCGCTACTAGATTCCCTGGACGAATTGTTGTTGTTGCTTTCCTAAAGAAATAAAAATTAGCCGTATTACTATACACCTTTCACGCATTCTATTAAATAGAACATAAATTTCAATTTACATTGCCAGAACTATATTACAATTCATGTTTTAGCACCCTCAATTTAGCAAACATCAATGTTCCGTGCGCCGTAATTTCAAGGTATCCAAGCTCTAACAGATCGTGACGTTAGCAAACATAGCAATTAAGAGCCACAAAATTTCGATGTACTTGAACATTGAGCTTTGCGCCGTTTCTAATCACCGTATTATGATGACCGGATCCTAATTTTTTTTTACGTACTTAAAACTAATAATTTCCATAAAAATAAACTATACAATATAAATTTCGTTTTCTCACATCCTTGGTTGTACTTGATACAAAACGTATTTTTTAAATCTAGAAATTTTTATTCACTGCAAACATCATTATAAATTGCATATCCAGTTAATATCTGGTAGATAAATAGAATTAACACGGAACAACCACCGTATAAAAAGAGAAATTAGAACATGAGGGCCCTTCATATTTATCTGCATTAGCAGTTAGTTATTACCCGGATGTTTGTACATGTGGTTTCTTTGATGGTTGATTTTTTGTTAGTGTTACCTTCTTCCAGCTTCCTCTACTCACCTCTGTCTTCTGAATAGGACTTGGGGTAGTCTTGAAAGACCCTCACACAGCATAGACCTTGCCGAGGTGCGTAGATATTGTATCATGTATTACCAACAGAGCTACGTGTTAATATTTTCTCACGAAATGGCACTATACCCATTTACTTATTATTTAAATTTTAAATATCTCAATCTCTACCCTCACTGTCTCTGCCGCGCGATAATTCGGGGTTAAGGTCATGTCTTAAATTATTAAAATTTGTAATATCGTGTATAGTCTTAACCGTAACATAATTCATTGAAAAATAGTATCAAAATACTAAAAGAACAAGAGTGCATTGTATTATAGCATATTATATTATACAATGTAAATAATACAATGATTTATTCGTTTTACATGAAAAAAAAAAGACATCAATGTAAAAAAAAAAAGCATACTATTATTGTATTATGTACATTATATTACATCTACATCAGTGGTTTTGTTATCTATAAGGTAAAAGGTGATTATTAAAAAATTGTTTCATGTAGGTAAAGCCATTGTAAAACTCCTTGTCTTATAATTTTAATAAGAATAATTTGTTTAGAGTTTCCTTTAGCTGATTAATGTGAGAAGGGTGCAATAAAAGTGCTATACAAAATTACATTTTATTTGGGCAGCTTTGACATGACCTCTAAAAATCAAATACTAGACCTTTTATACAACAAGCATATATGACCCTACATGTACATACAGCCCCCATAAAGTCACCACGGTATCTTCGTAGTAATTGTTGTAACGTTGCTTACTTAATACTACAAACAAGCATTTGCAAACATTCAGTTTCACTGTACCTCACTCATGTCCATTTGTACAGGATCATAGTTGGCGTCACTGGCTCTTTTACTGGCATCGCTGTGTATTTCATACGGCATCTTTGAAACACAATAGTATAGTGAAATGTTAAATAGTCTACGAGCTATAAACTTCTCATACAATACCAATATTAAACAATTATTGAATTATATGTAATTCTGTATATGCAACTGTAAAACTTGACTTCGAGTTATAACTAATTTTGAATTACCATCGATGGTGTTTGGTCACTCCAATCAGTGAATCAATTTCAACACAAGTGGTTAATAGTCTACTAAACGTTGATACTTTTAGGTTATACAGTACATTAATAAAGACAGAATCTCCCTACGATCGTCATAAACGTGTTCTATTCGTACATAGATATTTTCTATCAACCGAGGCGTAATTGATATTGGCGCACAATTTCCACCGATAAACTGTATGTAATCCGCGTATCAATTATCAAATCTAAATCCATTTCGTAACCACATTACGATTTTAAGAAATTCAGCTGCTTTTTCACGATAACGGACAATAAGCCCGAAGCAGGAGGTCCATTTGTTCGAAATTGAAAAGCTATCCAACAAAATTGAAGAACCTGCCCAGAAGCCATATCGAGTTTGTGTACATTAAAAAGTTTCCTAAGCGTCATGGATGCCGAAACAAGGAAGCGCCATTAATAAGACGATCTTCAATGACCCGACGACAATTAAAAACTGCATACTCACCTTCGGATCTTCCGAATTGTTACTGTTGTCCCCGTCACTACCGTAATTCGCTAACGAATCCATAATGGCGTGAAAACAGGGCACGAACTGTCCGAAATTGTTACGACTTATCGTGGCGCGTCGATCCTAGTCTGCCTTGCGCAGAAACGCCATTGGTCGAGAACGTTTGGCCAGCATTGTGCGTAGTTTTATAGCGCTTCCATCGAATGGGGTTAGCGAAGCGGAAATGGAAGGAGAAGGCGAAATACAGGAAATGCAGCGCGAGCGGCAAAATTAGGCGCGAACGCGAAAATTTGCGTCGCAATTCATTCATCGTTGATGGACTGTCGATGGAATTTCACTCGTCGACGGTCACGACGCATTATTTTCGCGAAACAATCACTATCGATCAAACGACCGCGTAAGAACAAACGAGGATATTATATTCTATTTTTGTTCATGCTATAAATATGTAGGGAAACACGGATAGGCTCTCTTTTTAGAATACTACAAAGTAGGGATTGGAAACTGTTATAATATCGATTTCGGTACTCAAAACACTCACGAAGTGCCGAAATAGCGTTACAACTGTTATTAGACTGTTATCTAACTGTTAACTGTTGTTATAACTGTTATCTAACTTTTGTTAGAATTAATATTTACAGAGTTACTAGCGTTATTCCTGTTGCGTGAGCTTGTGTCTACTCGGACAGTCACAGGTGTGAACTTAAACTTGTAAGCAGGATGCTAATTAATTCTGCAACGGTAACGAATAAATGCAACGATTTCCGAGGCACTCGAAAGGGTCACTGTACCGTGAAACAAAGGGGGACAACAATAGATGAAGATATCTGGATAATACTTTCTTCGAGTGAAGTTATTATAAAGGAAATTGTCATACAAAAATGTTTATTAATTTTCTAGAATCGCTTACTTATTATTACGGTTTAGCCGATAGTCACCTAAATTTTATTTATGTATACAATTAACCTATTTTTTATTCGCATTGTCTAGACATTAAAATTTCAATTAAGTTGCGAATAAAAGTCTTCATTGTCAAATAAAGCTCTGTGTCTTCTAGAATATGCCCGTGATAAAGGAACTCTTTCGCAGTCACAAGCAGCAACAAAAGGCCAGCTCGCGAATCGTCTTTATTTGCAAATGGATCTCGTCGCGACGTAGCCGGAGGCAGACCCCTGCACTTTCGAAATAACTTTTATTTCAAATATTCTTTCAAACGTGTTTCTACTTTTAATTTGCCATTATTTCATGTCTGTAATACAATTACATTATTTTATTTGTAAAATTAATTTCGTTGACACGTCGACATTGAATATGACTTGTCTGACCAGTAAGTTCTTTTTCTACTTGCGCTAAAGTCCAAGTCATACTCAATTACACGCGTACACCACGAATGTTCAAAGTCGATTTTCTCGAATACAAGGCCTCAAACCGAAAAAATATTATTCTTTTTGTCTACTTATTTTTGCATGTCTTTTATGTATAAGTTGCTAAATAGCGGGATAGTATCTCCCAAGAGGTTCACCATACTGCCTACGTCACGTATAGCAAGTTCTGTGAACAATTACATTTCTTTTCGCCGTAGGTTGATTCTGTATTGATCCGTTACGAATGTTTTCCATTGTTTTTTTTAACGCGCACGACGGGAAATAAATAAAGAATTATTATTATTCGACTAAATAAAGTTGGCTCGAGGTCCGCGAGACAGAAGGTGCAACGGGAAGGTGTTTCAAAGGTGGGTAGATGCTAGAGAGCACTCGCATTGACGTTTACGCGCGGAGAAGCGCGAGCCGGCGTGCAGGGGAATCGTGAACAAACCGGGACGCAACAGTCGCTCGCCAGACTTCGTGCTGGATCTGTCTCCGGTGGAGGTATGGTTTCGCGCGTCCGCGACGCTCTGTGTTTCTAACCCTTCCCAGGTACCTGTTACAGAACGTACAGCCGAGGGAAAAAGTACAGTGAACCTAGTCTCGCTGGGGGTGAGTGAATCCGTTGGTGTTTTCTTTCATGGCGAACATCGTGGGCCCGGGCAGCAACCCCTTCGATACGCGGATCGAAGTATCTCGGTACACGCGTACCCGCGACCCGTCGTTGATTCTCTCGTTCCACTCGGGATCTACGTGACCCCGTTTTCGTTTTAAATCATAGTCAATTGTTTTTAACGGACGACATCCTCCGTTCGCGAGCCTTTTCGTCGTTACGAGCCGTGGCCCGCCGCGAAAGGATCCGAACGTGTCCCGTGCACGGTTCTTTTTAATTAGTCGTGCGACAGTGCCCGGTTAATTGACAGGGTCAGCGCGACGTCCCGTGATTTATCCGTGCCTCGCTTCGCACGCGTGGTTCCGGGGTCTCGATTTTAATCGTCCTCGATTATCCCGCCTTGTGCGACGATCCGGCGCCGATCACACCGAACGACTAATTTTACACTATAATTTCGATTCTTTACGATCGAGCTTTTCCTCCATTCGCGTATACCGAGATAGAAAATAACCGAGTAAATTATAATAATAATGGGGAATTTAGAAAAATTCGATACTAGACCCAGTGACGCGAGATTAATTCAACCCTCGGACGGCGGACCATCTTAGCCGGTCCATTTCGACCCAAATCAGAATTTCATTATTTCGCACCCCGGTACAAGGCTCCGTTGATTTTACGAGCTCGCTGTAAAATTATTGATCAGAGACCAAAGTTCCACGACTCTGTAATAAATAATTTACATGAATTTTCGTGTTATGTACGACGTGAAAGAGACCATACGTAATTAAAAAAACGATAAATGAAATCGGTACCTGCATGAAAATCATTCATCAATTCACCAATTTGTTAACCATGGTTCATACGCGTAATAAATAGACCTTATACAATTTATGAAGCTTGCAGCGCTGCCATAGAATTAGATCTTTGTGATTATAATTTAATTTCGGTAACTATTGGTTCCATTCGAATCGCTGAGAATGCATACAGTTATGAACGTGTTTGCTCGTATTATGGCACGTGCAGCGAATTTAACATACTCGATTAAGATCGATTAGGAATAGTTATTCGAGAAAAAATACCGTTCGATCGACTTCAGGGAAAAAGGATTTCTTTTCAAGTAAACTACAAACGTAAGCAGCGTTCGATCGCTGTTATCTGGTGGAGTCGCAGTTAAGGACTGAAACGAAGTTTGAAAAGGAAAAGCTACCAACACTAGTCGGTCCTTTCGTCCGTGAATCGAGTTTGACCTTTGTGATTTCATATCGACCGGGAACTACGGTACCATTCGGTTCCAACTATAAAAGGTGCTTTAGGGACACGTGAAGGACCATCAAGTTCTTCCTCGCGTCGGTTACTGGATATAGGAAGGTCTGAAAACACGGCAGACGGAAATTAATTTAGAAAATGTAGTTACCGACGAAATTATTCTCCCTTCCCGGCAGACTTTGCGGCGGGCACGTTCGACGGTTATTAATTAAATCTAGCTCACGCTGTTGAACTTTTTGTCAATACTTTTGCCGTTAATTACGAGCCGGTAGACGACTCTATTCTTACCGCTCGTTGCGAGGAGGAATCGTTGAGTTTCTGGGAACGCAGTTTTCGTCAGACATCAAAGTTTTGTTTCCGCGTAAAACCGTAACTAGCTAAGTTTCTACAGATTTTATACCTTCGATAATTTTGCTATCGTTTACGATGAGATTTCAACGGAAATACGGCATATAGTCACATAAGACGTTCATGTGCAAGAACACGACGAGCGTAAAGATTTATGAATACCAGTTGCGTTTTCGTTTATGCCATCGATATGGTTTCATAGTCCATGTTTTTATTAAATCCTATCAGACAGAAACAAATTTTTAACGTAAATTTCATTCAATCTGCGTTATTTTACTTTATCTTCCCGGGAAGTTTAAATATTTAAACACGATTTTATGTCACGCTCGCAACACGGGAATAAGAATTTGTACAAATAGTTTATCGAATCGGAATAACGGAGAAACTTTAATAAGTTCCCTCGGATGTTTGCGCGACGACTTATTAAAGTCTTTCGAAACTGTTGGAATCCTGAAGACTTGTTTATACGAGTCCATTCAAAGTTCCCGAGAATTTTTAATTTGAAAGTCTTTTATGTCGGCGGACATTGTCTGGGTACGTACAGTCGGGCATTTTAAATGTTTCTTTGAATCGTCTCCGTAACCCTTTCTCGTTTGTCCAAGTTTCGCTGAAGAATGTCAAACTACTGTTGAAAATTTATTTATTAATTGCGTCCCGACAATTCTCCTTGGTTCGCCCACGTTCGGTTCGCTTACAATTCTTGCCAATTTCAAGAATTTGCTCAACATTTAGGTTAATAACAGCTGTGACTCGCTATTATTCCCATAAATGTACATTTGACTTTATTTCCGTACATCGTACTTGCATTAAAAGTAACGGAATACAGAGAATTTCATTGGATTTTGGAGTTTTCAAGTACGAGAAACGCTGCCCCACGATGTAAAAGAGACTCGTCGTTGCAAGTCCTAATTATAATTCATAAGTGCTTCTTTGTGTTCTTTCTTTTAATTAAAAATTCCCTTCGGTTTACACTGTATGTAGTATAAATTAAATTAATATTAGTCTTCTAATTTTTAATGTACATATCAGCATTACCAAAATCACGAGAAGGTAGCTACGTTCGATGCTCCTACAGACAAGAAAAAAAAAAGGAATATCGTCGTTAATTTGCACCGTCACGTCGAGTATTAATTGTCCCTTAATGATCTCGCCAATAATTCCCAGCCCCGGATACGATTTCCTTCCAAACCGTTCGAGATATCGAATCCGAGCAACCTCTCGCGCGAGATGTAATTTCCCGGATAGATCAACTCCGGGGCGTACGGCCTGGTATCGACTACCGTTACCCGTCGAAGACAACCGTCGAACATGCCACAGCAAAATTCATTGTACTTCGAGCGAACGTGGTTTTACTTTTACCGTCGCTCTCACGTTCGGGCCCCCCCCAGGGAAGGGGCGGGAGGGGGGGCTGCCATAATCTCCGATCGAAGAAATTCTCTGTTAGCCCGTACGTCCGGACGACTGTACCGTATTGCTATGTTTTGCACAGTAGGGGGCGCGACGTACGTGTAAAGAGGGACCTATGATTTAAGGGGCCAGAACATTTCTTTGCCAATATCTTTGTTATTTTCACCGATAGCAACAAACGTGTTGCAACTATATCGCTTGGTTCGACACTAAGAATATTGTTTTTCTATTTTATCAAAGTGTTGAGAGTCGTCGTCATTTATTTGATTGACAAATCGTCGTCAAATTCTTCCGATCCGGACCACACTGTGCGTCATCCTGTTCTGTTCGTACGCGTGTCCCGTTTTCGCGTCCGCTCGGGCAGCAAGGAAGACGGCTCGAGCATCGTTGCGGTTCCGTTATCCGCCACGCGGTAAATACACGTCCACGGTCCTGCTCGTTTTGCCGCCGATGAAAATAAACAATATATGCCCCGACCGAGCGTACGTTACCGATACCCCACGCACACCAATGCTGAAAGTCGCCACGCTCGATCCTCCGCGTCGTTCTTTCCACGGTGGAGGCTAAAAAGAGAATTTCATCAAAAATATATCGTACAAAAGATATTTACTTATCGGAGCATTTTACTTTCCCAAAGCAGACAAATTTTCGATCATCATGAGAAACACACTCCGGGCGATCGCGTCGAAGGAAACGTTCTGCAAATAAAAATAAAATTCACTCGGCGTACGTAAGCGCGTAAAAGTCGAGAATGCAGTTAGAAATGCTGTTATTAAAACCTAACCTCGATGTTTAATGGGTTCGGAAGTTTTGCTCCGAGACTTGTTTTTTTTTTCAATCTGAACTTCGTCAACCTGTTTACATTTCTTCGTGCGAACCGGTATCGACCGCTACGGTCATTTAACCGGGTACGCGCGGTTTCGAGGAGCCGCGACTTCGTACGGAGTTCAGGCGCAGAGTTCACCGTCGCGGCAGAAAGTTTTTGGGTCAATTCTCTTAGGGTCTTTTATTTATAAAGGATCATAATAAAGGCTGATGTATTTCGGTGGGACGGGTATATTGGGAAACTTCGTGAAATCAATCGATAGGCCGTTCTAAAGTGTACGCGTCGGAAAAGAGAGACGCAGCTTCGCGAGGAACTTCGAACTTCCGTTAACGACGAAAGTACATAGCAACGTTTTCGAGGATAACTGTACTTACTGTCGCGGCGCGCAGCATCTCGTACGGGTGGGAGGGGGGGGGGGAGGATATTCTTGAATACAATTGAAGCGTCTCCGAGTAACTCGGAATTATTCATTCTGTCTCCGCTCGCAACTCCATACCGAATCTTTTCCATTCGACCTAAAAAATAAATAAAGAATTGTAATAGAAAGAAATTGGTAATTGGTAATGAAAGTTTCGAGAACCTACATCGATATCATAACAGTTTTCACACGGCCTAAAAAAATATACATTCCATTGAAAATACTGAACTTTCTCGAAAAATATTATAAAAATAGAAAGTCGATGTAGGCTATAATATTGGCGACAGAAGATGATTGATGACTGTTATAGGTAATATATATAAATCCGGGGGTAAAGTTTAGCGTTAGCACCGGTTGCTTTCACGGGCGGAAACTACCCCCGAGCAACTATGCAAATAGTCGCAACGACCGTGTCCAGACGTTCGTAAACGCTATCCGCGCGACAGCTGCGTCGAAAACTAGGGGCATCAAACGTGCAATCATCGGGGTGCGCATCGGCGGGCCTCGTACCTGCATAATGCGCACTCGAAAGCCGTGCACGCAGCTTCTTGCATCGCTCGGAGGGGTGCAACGCGTCGTTACGGGCGAGAAAACCGTGACGAAACGGAAACAAGGGTTGGGGTGGGGTTGAATTAGGCGTCGAGTTGTGCAACGGGTACGAAACGAGATTCGAATCGATCGTGAAATCTGTTCCGACATCGCGGTCCCCCGCGCAGTCTCCGGCGAATTGAAAA